TGCTGGGGTTTACATATTGTGACGGCAGAGAAAGGGAAAGAGACAGAAATATCATATTCAGATGTTCGTTCATTGGTTCCTTTTCGTTGGGGTTTCATATTGTGACAACAGGGAACGTGTTTTTATGTTTGACAATGATACAAAAGAGAAAGAACATCAAAACACTCGGCAATCTGATAAATACTCGGGGGCTACGCCCCCTCGTACAGATCAGATAGCCTCGTGTTTCGATGCTCTTTCTATTACATAGAAGGTTGGTGGTTCTATTCAGGTGCTCATTTGTGCATCCAATAAAATACATGAAGGAACACCTGAGGTCTTCCTTCACAAATAAGGCTGGGAAGTTGCAATATTATAACATTTACAGTGTCAGTTAAAGATGTTTTATCCTCAAATTTGATATTTAAAAAAACTCTGATAATTACACTTTGAATACACACAGAGAAGATATGTTATGTTTTAAACTCTACTCATTACAGGTAATCACTGTATGATAACATAGTGTCACTAAAAAAACTAGCAGTGTTTATAAGAATAGATCAAATTAGTTGGAGAAGAAATAGGGAATGCAGCTTTCCAAACATTGTTTATACATTCACTTATTCAAATTAGACATATACAGTCAAAAGTGCCCGATCGGCCACCTTTGTAAAAGCGCCACCTGCCTAAGTACGCCATCTCTGCTCAACGCCGCCAACGGCCACCCATTTTCATCCCCAAATAGCCAAAATTACCAGATCAAACGGCCAGTACAAGAATGTTTGTCGCCATTTTGGATCCAATATTTTTTCTGTACCATACTGTTTTTGTACCGTTTTACATTAATTTTTACCAGTAGTCGGTAAATTTGTTTGTAAGTTTGAAAAATAACTTGTTTGAAATGTGTTTCGTTTGAGTAAAATATTTTTGATATTCATGTATTTTCGAAAGTAAAGTGAAATTATAATTGCGCATAGAAATTTCTTTTAAATTAACCACATTAATGAAATCTAACTGCAAAGCAAAATTTAAGCTGTCCAATTTATTAAGTTGAATCTATACCTTTCAATGTCTAATAATCGCTAATCGCTTTTGAAGACGTGTCAACATACATGTGTAATATGTACACGGTATCAATCTAATACACGTCGTGGGGCATGACCTTTCTTTGTTTGCATAATCATCGTCACATAAATTGTATAGTGGTAGCTATTTATTGTCACAAATCAAAGCGTTACTCGGCAAATTTCTTCGAACTAGTATGACAGCGATGAGTAAACAAACTTCAATTCTAGACTTTTTTAAACAAAAATAATGTGCCAAATTACTTTTACTATACAATGTATATCTGACTACCTGACTATAATTTTAAAATGCACATTTTAACACTTTTTATCAATTACATGTATATGTTCTTCTAAACATTAGATTTTTAACATTGCATATTAAATTCTATGTTTTAAATGTTTTATCTAAAATCGTTGCAAATCATGGTGTTTTACGTCATATCTAAAAAATATTTAAAAATAAGCACTTTTCCTAGCCAGAGTTCAGCCCTGGATAAAAGAGCCACCTGTATAAGAGAGACACTTTTACAAATTCCCAATACTGTCTCTTTTATACAGGTTTGACTGTACATGTACGCAAGAAGAATTTAGTAGATTTCAATAAATTTCTGCAATAAAAGTATTTTACCCAAATATGAGCATAGTATAACTTTAATCGATAAGTGATTTAATGGACTTTACAAACTGACAACATAGTGTATTATATTCTGTTTTAGTTACCAAACAGTTTTACTTAAGCAAGTAGAATTATCTTCTTGAATGAAATTTACTTAGTAAAGAAAATAATAATGATAATGGTAATAATAATGATAATAATAATGATATTGATAATAATAATAATAATGATAATAATAAAGACTTTATTTAAGGAGGCAACAAAGCATGCCCAGTCTTCCCTATGAGCCTCTAGAAAATGTTGAAAACCAAAGGTATATTTTTACACCTGTCACCTGCACTAAAAAAAGATAATGATTAAATTAGAGATAAAATGAAAAGTTTCAAAAAATATTATAGCAGTGAAATGGTAAACATAATCTTAGAGCTGCATGCCTCCAGATAAGCCAAAATATTTCAAGAAACTCAAATTGAAAAAGAATTGTACTGAGATTTTAAAAAATGTAAAAGGATTCAAAATTTTTGTAATACTTATATGCTATATGCAATTATTGACTGATTTTGCGGTATTTATCACCATGATTCTACTGCATTAGTAACGCAGTAAGGCCTATTTTTTGCATATTTTTACCTCTTTTTGGTAATTTTTTTGCCATTAATTGCAATGTGTAAATTAATAATTTTGTTCACTTTGCAATCTTTTACTTTTAAATAGATTTTTTAAAAATATTTCATGAAAATTAGCATGGATCTGGACTTTACTCTCTACTTTATTACATGTTTACTTTCTTACATGTAAATGGATTGTACGTGATGATTATAGTACATGTACATGTTTGCAGTACAATGACATGTACTAAAGTGTCAGACAGCTTTTTCAAGTCATAATAATTTCAAGTAACTTGATAATTGAATTGTTGTTGTTATTGTTAAGCCAAAGTAATAAATATACCTATCCTAGTAATGAATATACCTACCGGGTATCCTTTTTTTCTCTCTTTCTAAAATATTGAAGCTGTGCACCTCTAGATCATTCAGCAAAAAATATAAACTTAAAAGAATATAATATATGGAGGGTCCAATTTTTAACCTCTTGTTCTTATGTACAGTAATTAATTTAGTTACTCAGCTTTGAATTTTGAATAGTCCATTCAAAGTTTAATGGATTTCAATAAGGAAAAAGAGGTAAAAACAATATAATAGCTACTGGTCTGACTGACTGCAGGCCAAGGATCGAAGATTAACATATGAAAAGTCTTAAAGTAGATTGATATCTGTCAGCGAAGTGACTTGTTGCACATAGTTTATGTAAAGTTTAAATGAACTAACCATATTTTTACTATTTTACAATATTTTACTGCATTTTCTTCTTCTAGGTGGAGGGAGGGGCATCCCAAGAATTTTTTTTACATTGTGGCGGGGGGGGGATTGGGGGTGTTTCACTGCATCAACAAAGTATATGTTATATGGCGACTTTCCAGCTTTACTGGTGGAGGAAGACCTCAGGTGTCCCTTTTTGCATCATTTCAGGCATAAACGGGCACCTGAGTAGATCCACCAACATTCAAGATTTTAAAAGGTGTGTTTTGGCATACATTTAATGAAATAAATATGTTAAGGCTTATTAGAAATTGCAAGTAGACAAATAAATTACTTTTATTTAATACTTCTCTTAGAAAAAAGTTGAGGCTTCAGTCTATATGGCTTATAAAAAGCTTCACCTCTGCTGACTTAAGAATTTATAACATTTTATGTTTCATTAAAATTATATTTAACATTGAGGTGTGCTAATGTAACAACAAAGAAAACATGATTTTAATGAGACAGTCAATACAGTATGCATGTGATAACCAAAATTGCTTCATTGGCTAAAAATTAAAACACATTTTTGAGTATTTGCTGAACATGTATATATTGAATAATTAAAGGCTAATTTTTTGTCTGGTTTAGGCAGACTTTACTCTTTGGAGCTTATAATTGTTTTATAGAGGATATTTGTTTAGTTCAGTGTAAGATCGGAATATATTTCACCGAGTGAGCACCAAAAGGTATATTTCACGAGTGGCGCAGCCCTGAGTGAAATATTAACTTTTGGTGTTCACAAGGTGAAATATATTTCGATCTTACACTAAACTAAACAAATTTTCTTTTTATTATATGCAAAGAAACGTTTTAAAAGGACATTAAACCTAATACTGAATGAAAAGCGCGCCAAATAATAATACAACGTGACGTCATTTACGACGTCACGTCATTAAGTTGGTTCCCAGTATTGTGCACGCTGGTATTTCACTGAAACAACGTAAGGGGCTTAAATTCAAAACAGTGAAATTATCAAAGTGGTAATTTCACTGTTTCAAACAGTGAAATTACCAGTTTTATATCACTGATATATTTCTATAAACCACCGAAAAGCATGTAATAAAATATGTTTAATTGAATCATTAGAATCATTAGAATCAAAGTGTACTTTGTTACTTCTAAAATAAAAGCATATCAAGGTTATTACAACATTAAAGTGGCTGACATGTTTAACTTTATTAGTAATGCAAGGTACATTGTATTTGAACAGATTTGTACAAGATGAAGATCAGTACGTTTTGCTGTTAAAATGGTTTTATTTAAAACTTTTACTTGTATGGTTTGCTTTATCTTTCAAGCTCTAAAAATAATTTATAACATGAAATACATGTACCTTGTCACAACAAATAATCCAAATAAAAAAAGTAATATGTTCATATATATATATAGAAAATATATGCTTTTCTTACCTCCCTTAGACTTCTCTTCAGTTGTCAAGTTGAGGTGGGAGAGGTATCATAATTATGTTCAAACTTCTGAGTTCTGACATATGAGACATTGAAGAGAAATATTTAAGAAACACTTGTAGTCAAGTTAATTGACAATGAAGTAAAAAAACAATTGAACTTCTATTTGCAATAATAAAATAATTCAAAGGAAGTAAATATTTTATATTGAAATAATGAAGTTTAGGGAAGATTTGAAATGTGTATAGACCGCCTCCATGGTCGAGGGGTTAGAGTTGATGACTTCTTATCCAGTTACCTCTCTGGCGTGGGTTCGATCCCCGGCAGATGCTTTGGTAGTTTAGCACAGAGGAAGGTAGTCTAGTTGGTTAGGCAACTACCTGCCTATATGACTGAAATACTGTTGGGAAAAGGCGTAAAATGAAACAAACAAACAAACAAAAATTAAATGTGTATAACCATTTTGTCATTGAATACAAATTTTAAAAAAAATATACATTAGATTATTATAAAATGTGTGAAAGGTTACTTGATGATCATGTATGTCATAAATTGTAACTTTATATTTCAGACAATAGTTGGATACCCTCCCACAAAACAGATGAGTTCAGAAGAACAGGATTTAGTTTGGAAATACAGATTTTATCTCTCCTCACAGAAAAAGGTTTTTATATTGTTCATACACAAGTTCATAGTGATTATTGTATGTGATATCAGTAAAATATTAAAAGAACAAGAGACTGTCTCATAGATTAGTGTGAGAAATTTCTGTTCAGTAATGAAAGAGACTGCCTCATAGATTAGTGTGAGAAATTTCTGTTCAGTAATGAAAGAGACTGCCTCATAGATTTGTGTGAGAAATTTCTGTTCAGTAATAAAAGAGACTGCCTCATAGATTAGTGTGAGAAATTTCTGTTCAGTAATAAAAGAGGCTGCCTCATAGATTTGGGTGAGAAATTTCTGTTCAGTAATAAAAGAGACTGCCTCATAGATTTGTGTGAGAAATTTCTGTTCAGTAATGAAAGAGACTGCCTCATAGATTTGTGTGAGAAATTTCTGTTCAGTAATAAAAGAGACTGCCTCATAGATTTGTGTGAGAAATTTCTGTTCAGTAATGAAAGAGACTGCCTCATAGATTTGTGTGAGAAATTTCTGTTCAGTAATAAAAGAGACTGCCTCATAGATTTGTGTGAGAAATTTCTGTTCAGTAATGAAGGAGGCTGCCTCATAGATTTATGTGAGAAATTTCTGTTCAGTAATATAAGAGACTGCCTCATAGATTTGTGTGAGAAATTTCTGTTCAGTAATAAAAGAGAATGCCTCATAGATTTGTGTGAGAAATTCCTGTTCAGTAATAAAAGAGGCTGCCTCATAGATTAGTGTGAGAAATTTCTGTTCAGTAATGAAAGAGACTGCCTCATAGATTTGTGTGAGAAATTTCTGTTCAGTAATAAAAGAGGCTGCCTCATAGATTAGTGTGAGAAATTTCTGTTCAGTAATGAAAGAGACTGCCTCATAGATTAGTGTGAGAAATTTCTGTTCAGTAATGAAAGAGACTGCCTCATAGATTTGTGTGAGAAATTTCTGTTCATTAATGAAAGAGACTGCCTCATAGATTTGTGTGAGAAATTTCTGTTCAGTAAAAAAGAGACTGCCTCATTAAACAACACCAATTTTAGGTTAAAAAGATGATTGTTTATATGATATATCAGTACATTTAATATGTGTACATCATGAATTGACATTTTCATTTAAATATAAAGCATGTTAAACCTCAAACTTCATTACTGAAATCATTAATGAAAAAAAAAATAAAAAGAATTTGAAGAACAGTTAATGTATAAAGTTGATTAAAATTATAAAATTTTCTTTGCTTTCTATTGTCCAGGCTCTGACAAAATTTTTGAAGTGTGTAAATTGGAATCAAACCCAGGAGGTTAAACAAGCGCTAGAGTTACTCAGTGCCTGGAACCCCATGGATGTGGAAGACGCACTTGAGCTTCTGACACCAACTTTTTCTCACCCGGTAGTGAGGAAGTACGCTGTAAACCGACTTAGACAAGCAGATGATGAGGTGGGTGGTGAATTTAGCTTAATTTGAGCAATGGTTGCTTCGAACTATATATACCTTATGCATATTTTGGTAAAAAAATACATTTGTGTTTCTAGTTATCTAAACCTTACTCAATTTCAAAAAAGTTGTATTGCATATGTGAAAGTGATGGAAATCTTTACAATGTTTCTTTTGAAGAGTAAGAAAAATTATGTTTCCAAATATTCTACGTCTCAGTGTGGCCAAGTGGTTCAGGTTGTAAACTTTAAACCAATTGCTTCTCAACGCTGTGGGTTCGAATCCCACAGAGGACCTTTGGATTCTTTCATGTGAGGAAGCTATGCAGCTAGCTAACCAAATGTTGATGGTTCTACTTAGGTGCCAATTCATGCTTGAAATGATGTACAGAGAGGCCTAAGGTCTTCCTCCATCGGTAAAGCTGGAAAGTTGCCATATGACCTTTTCAGTGTTGTGACATAAAACCTACCCAAAATAAAATAAAAGTAAAACATGCATTTTTGAGGGTGTAGTTGATCTTTGAGATACCTTTGCAAAAATATACAGTTAAAGACATTATTTCTTCACAAAATGAATGTGCTTAAAGCAACATTAAACCACTCTAAAATTTACTTTCACACCTTATTTCATACAATATCCCATAGATAACATTGTGAAATCAAGTGTCATGCCAAGGAGCAATCAAGCAGAAAGTAACAACATAACAACAAATTTAAGTTCTAGGAAGGTGTTGACTTTAATATCAGTGGTCTCAATAGTGAGGTCAAATAAAGAACAAAACAAAGAATTGGGACTGAATTTGTTGGTCTTAAAAGTGGATAAGTGAGGTGGTTTTAATTCTGGATCATGTAACCATTGACATAAAGAACAGAAAATTCCGTTCTTTTTAAAACTGGTCTTAATAGCGGGGTTGTCTTAATTCTGAGGTGGTCTTAAGTAAGGATTCTACTGTATATACAAAAAATATAAAATGTATATAAATATACATGAAAAAATAATTTATGATCGGCTAAAAATATGCAATTTTTTTGGAGCAAAGGCCTAAGAGCATTATACTGAGGTAAGCCTTATAACAGGGTGTGTTATAACAGAGTAGCTGTGTTTTGTAGGGAGGTATATATTTTGTATGGGAAACTGAATACATGTTTCATAACAGTTCTGAACAAGTACCTTTAACATCAGATTACTGAGTGAAATTTCACACTTAGCACACAATTAATTATGTGAAGTGATATTTTACCTTCACCATACTAAACAGTCATGTGCACAAGTTCATCTTTCAATCTGGACAAACCCTAATCCTTATTTTTATGGAAAGGTTCTGAATAATTACTGACTGAATAGCTAACATTGCAGACCATGATCAGACAGAATGGAAGTGCTAGCTAATCGTAGTTTGCACTGGTGATATTGGAAGACTGGTGTGGTAACCAGACGAAAAAATGACACTTTCGCTTGAAATTTTTCAGGATTTGTTGTTATATCTGCTACAATTAGTGCAAGCATTGAAGTATGAAGATTTTGAGCAGATAAAGAAAGATTTGGATACAGCTGTTACACCTGTTAGGCGGGATTCAGTGTCACTGGATGATTCCCCGCAACAGACAGAAAAGTATGTATTCATATATTCTATTTTTCATTTTCATTAAGGTTTTGTAAGTTTTATGAAAATCAATGATTAACTCATCACCTGATTGAACTAGAAGTGATTAGTCTTTGCCACCAGTATAGAGCCAGGCAGGCATGTACACACCTACTGTCTGACCGAGCTCTTGACTGCTGGCAGGTCTGTTTTATGAATGCCCAACATGGATGTCCCAGCTCTTATTTACTTATTCAAGATGTGAGAGCATGTGTCAATCATTGTCATTGGTGGGCTTCAGAAAAGAATCTTGGTGCTTGTTGATTTCCTTACAATAATAATTTATTTTTTCACAGTTTTCACAATTTGGTACTGTTCTATTAGCATTTACTTTCAAGTGACAAAGCTCTCCTACCTTTGGTGACAAAGCTCTCCTACCTTTGTTTGTCAACCGTCATTACATAGATGTGTTTATTATAATTAGAATATATTACACCTTTAACAAAATGTGTTAATACTTTGTAAACAATCTTAGGGATTGACCAATAAGACAAAAATTGTTTAGAAGAAAATATGAAAATCTGTTCATTTGGTTCATACTACAGTTGTATTACATGATTTTTTTGATAAAAAATAAGCAGTAAAGAAAATGTCCAAGCTGTTTTATTCTTTGAAGTTTGTTATTCACCCACAGTCACAGTCTTATCTTAGAAAGAATGGGGTTGAGTTCTCTGTCCTAAAACCCCAAACTTTGTACATGTATACTGAGTGGGGTCTTTTTTTCTGTTTCAAATTGACACTTTTGAATAGAGATGGACGAAAGATCTGAAACTGAGGAAAAAAAACCCTCCTATTTTATTTAAACCAATGGTTTTACAGCCATCCTGATTATTTCAAGACAAGTAGTCTTAGTTTTGAATTTTCATGTTAGTGTTATAATATTTTTTCTTTGCTCATTTTTAGCTTGTCTGTTTCAAAGGAAATAACGAGCTATTATGATTTCTGCATCATTGTCCTGTGATTGTTTAGAATATCAATAAAAAAATATGATATTGATAGTTGTTACCATTAACTTGATGAGTGTTAAAAGCACATGATGTGCTCTTGTTCTATGTTAAATTTCAATTTTGATTGTAATTTATTTTATGCACTGTCAATGTTGTTTTCAGAGGTTAATTTAAGTAATTCCTTTTCCAACTACATGTATAAGCATAGTGATTATTGATCATCATGACCCACTTGTTTGATGACTGTTAGATATTGGTTCAATTTCACTATGTTATATTTAGGTATCCAGCGCCTGTGTTGACAAGGACCACATCACATGACTCCATTTTAGATGAACTAGGTACTTCCCCACGCATCTCTGAGAGTCCAGAATCTAAACTTGAAAAAGAGGTATATTTGATGCTTTTGCTGTGACTTTCACTGCTTTTTTAGCTCGACTTTTCTATGAAAAGGGGAGCTATCCTACTCGCCCCGGCGTCGGCGTCGGCGTTGGCGTCACACCTTGGTTTAAGTTTTTCGTACCACCCCCACTTTATTTCAGAAGTATTACAAGTATGGCTTTGAAACTTACCATACTTGTTCACCATCATAACCTCCATCTACAGACAAGAGTACATAACTCTGTCAAGGTTTTTGACAGAATTATGGCCCTTTTTTGACTTAGAAAGTGTATTGAGCTTGGTTAAGTTTTTTGTACCACCTCACTTATTTCAAAAACCATTGGAGGTATTGCTTTGAAACTGACCATACTTGTTTACCATCACGACCTTCATCAACAGACAAGAGGACATAACTCTGTCAAGGTTTTTGACAGAATTTATGCCCCTTTTTGACTTAGAAAATACATTGAATATGGGTAAAATCCACTTATTGCCTTAACCCTTTGAGATATTGCTTTGAAACTTTTAATGCTATTTTCACATCATTACCCCCATCTGTACGCAAGAGAAGGTAACTCTGTCAAGGATTTGTTTTTAAAAATTAAGGCCTTTTATCGACTTAGAATCTTGGTTAAGTTTTTAGTACCAGTCCACTTTTTGACTGAACTGTTTGAGATATTAATTTGAAGTTGGAATACTTGTTTACAATCATGATTCCCAAACATGTCCAGGAGAAGGTAATTCTGTCAAAGATTTTATTTGAATTATGGCCCTTAACTGTCAATGTTTTGTATTATAGGCAAGCACTAAAAAAACTTAAAAAATCTAAAAAAAATTCATTCCTATCCACTTGTTCACTTTACCATAAATTATGTCATATAAACATTGCTGTAATATTCAAGGGTATCAAACAACTAGTTTATTTTACCAGTAAATCATATAACTTTATATTCAGTTTCGTGATGCTACACTGTGCTTACATACAGAAATTAGGAGCATTCGAAGATAGTGAGAATGAATGTGTTCAACGAGATGCCCCAATTGGTAAAAATATACTCAATGTCACGATTTCATGAACATTTAGCATGACATTAAATAAATGAATTGAACTTCCTTCATGTAATTCAAATATCAGTTTACAACGCATTATCTACATAGTGGACCCACGAAAAGTAACCAGTCACCCACAGCCTGTGTGAAAGAGATCCACTTGTGACCAACTGACAACATCTAAAAAAGCTTGATAAAATTTATCTATTACTTGTATTATAAGGTAACTATAATACTTTCACATACAAAGTCAAATCTATATATTATGCTGATTGTACAAAAATATACTGCTTCCTTGGCATAGATTTCTTGAAAAATTATGTTATTATGTCATTTACCAAGGTGTTCTGAGTGACGTAAAAATACCTTATTCTCTCAAAGTGGGTTTAATACTATTAAATTTATTTAAGGCTCAACTCAGTTTTTTTTTCTTTCTTACCAGCCCTCTTTTGACTTAAACATTTCAAACTTTGCTGCAGTGTTCAAGGGTATCACACAATTCAGTAAAATAATTCTTCACTAAATATCTTAATGCTCATGGCCATTGTTCACTTTAAAAATACAGAGATTCTTGTATTGCCTTTTACTGCAAAAACTTTTTTTATTGGCAAGCAATAAAAAAGTCGAGCGCGCTGTCTTACGGACAGCTCTTGTTCATCTTGTTTTCCCCTGATCTTTTATCATCTGTAATTTTGGAAAGACACCTTAGGACTTTTGAGCAATTAGCCTCCAAATATATAAATTTTTACGTGAACATTTTTAAGAAATTTTTTTACCAGGAAATGCTGTCCACTGTGCAAAGATTATTCCTTTTCCAAGACATTCATTTTACTCAGAAATTATCTATATCAGAAAAAAGCTTAGAAGTAGCTGAATAGAAATATGGTAATGATACAAATTGTTTTTTCTTTAAAATTCCCTCTTTAAGGGTTGAGGCATCAGAATTTCAGCTACTGTTTATCTTTGTGTGATTGTAAGAGGCAACTAAATGGTTTGGAATTACTGAAGTCTATGCATTTCTCAGCTCTAGCAGATAAGGTAGTTTTCACCCCTGGTGTTGCTTAAAGTTTGTAACATGCGTGGTTAGCCAAAGTCATCTTTCCTGTTTGGGTGCCATAAGACCTAAATTATGTTGGGTGTGCTGTAAATCCAAGAAAAAACTTCAAAATAATTGTATTTATCTACATTAAGAAATCATCTCATACACAGTTAGCATTAGCAGATTTCACTTGGCTTGTATAGCCGATATTCAGTCATATTCCCAATTGAAAATAGTATATTATTTTCCCAATCCACAGGTAAAAAATCCCAATTGAAAGTTACAAAATAAAAATATTGAATAATAAATTTTTAAGTCTTTGAAAATAAGGGCCTCTTCACTGTTATGGTGCTTTAATGTTTGAAGATGCCATCCTAGAAAGTGATTCTTTGCATTCATTTAATCAAAATTAAAGTCATGCATTTTTCCCAATTTTTAACAAAACATTGCTGAAAAATTCTCAATTCTGTGGGTACGGGTCATATTCCCAAAATCCTGGAAAAAAAAAACACCCTGGTAAAAGATACATCAACACAACACCATAACTTGTCACCTCAGTGCAGTAATTGGTTAATTCTTATCAATTATATAAGGAGTTAACCCATTACTGGACTAAGGTGACAATATTACAGAAATGAAACTTTGACTGTTTGTACCAAATATTCCTGGCAAAAATTTTGTGCTACCTTCTATGAATAAAAACTGAACCATCACTGTAAAAAAAATTAAACTGGCTTGCATGATTATAAACTATATTACAGAGTACAGTATAATCATTGGTATAGTGATTTCATGCACAATGTAATAAAACCTGCTAAATATTAGACAGATGTCTTTTCCTGAGAGCATAATTTGGAACAATTTTCTGTACTATTTCAATGGGTACCATATGTAATAATATGTAAATTGAGATGACTTTTTCAATGTTCTTTGAATTTCTTCTGTACTTGTCCATTTAATGTCATTTATACTTAATTGATGCAATAGTTATTTCTGAAGTATAGATGACTTCATGGCATATAGACCAAAATACACTTTCCTTAAGGTGTAGAGGTATTTATAGATGGATCCGTACGTAGTTTTTAAATAGCTTATCATGTATATGCCACACCAAATTTTCATATAAAATTGAAAGTCTTTGCCATTCCCATCAAACTGTCAATATCTTTACCTAATATCATGTATTCATGAATCATTTAAAAAAGGAAAAGTCATTGACGTCCTTTTTAGCTCACCTGTCACAAAGTGACAGGGTGAGCTTTTGTGATCGCTTTTCGTCCAGCGTCCGTCCGTCCATCGTCCGTCCGTAAACTTTTGCTTTAAATGACGTCTCGTCATAAACCACTGAGCCAATTTCATCCAAACTTCACAGGAATGTTCCTTTGTGGTCACCTTTAAAAATTGTTCAAAGAATTTAATTCCATGCAGAACTCTGGTTGCCATGGCAACCGAAAGAAAAATCTTTAAATATCTTCTTTTAAACAACCCTAAGAGCTAGAGCTTAGATATTTGGCATGAAACATCTTCTAATGAGTGTCTACCAAGTTTGTTCAAATAAAAGCCCTGGGGTCAAAATTGGCCCCGCCCCGGGGGATCATTGATTTTCCCTATATGCATATAGTAAAAACTTAAAAAATCTTCTTTTAAAGAACTGTAAGAGCTAGAGCTTAGATATTTGGCATGAAACATCTTCTAGTGAATGTCTACCAAGTTTGTTCAAATAAAAGCCCTGGGGTCAAAATTGGCCCGGCTCCAGGGGGTCATTGATTTTCCCTATATGCATATAGTAAAAACTTAAAAATTTTCTTTTAAAGAACCCAAAGAGCTAGAGCTAAGATATTTAGCATGAAACATCTTCTAATGAGTGTCTACCAAGTTTGTTCAAATAAAAGCCCTGAGGTCAAAATTGGCCCTGCCCCAGGGGGTCATAGATTTTCCCTATATGCATATAGTAAAAACTTAAAAAATTCTCTTTTAAAGAACCCAAAGAGCTAGAGCTAAGATATTTGGCATGAAACATCTTCTAGTGAGTGTCTACCAAGTTTGTTCAAATAAAAGCCCTGGGGTCAAAATTGGCCCCGCCCCAGGGGGTCATTGATTTTCCCTATATGCATATAGTAAAAACTTAAAAAATCTTCTTTTAAAGAACTGTTAGAGCTAGAGCTTAGATATTTGGCATGAAACATCTTCTAGTGAATGTCTACCAAGTTTGTTCAAATAAAAGCCCTGGGGTCAAAATTGGCCCCGCCCCAGGGGGTCATTGATTTTCCCTATATGCATATAGTAAAAACTTAAAAATCTTCTTTTAAAGAACCCAAAGAGCTAGAGCTAAGATATTTAGCATGAAACATGTTCTAATGGGTGTCTACCAAGTATGTTCAAATAAAAGCCCTGGGGTCAAAACTGGCCCGCCCCGGGGGTCATTGATTTTCCTTATATGTGTATAGCAAAAACTTAAAAATCTTCTTTGAAAAAACCCAAATAGCTAGAGTTTAGATATAAAGCATGAAACATCTTTAAGTAAATATCTTCAAAGTTTGTTCAAATAAAAGCCCTGGGGTCAAAACTGGCCCTGTTCCAGGGGTGTCATTGTTTTTAACTATATGTGTATAGTAAAAACTTAAAAAATCTTCTTTTAAAAAACCCAATGAGCTAGAACTTAGATGTTTAGCAATTGAAACATCTTCTTATGGGTGTCTACCAAGTCTGTTCAAATAAACAAATAAAAGCCCTTGGGTAAAAATTGGCCCGGGGGGAGGGGGGGCTATATACAGGTGAGCGACCTCAGGGCCATCATGGCCCTCTTGTTCTAAAGTACTTTTGTTAACTTATACATTTTGTGTACATAGTTTCATAAGTGCAGAGTCTAAAATAATGTATACTTGTCATCAACTGATAATGTATTTGCAAAATGTCGACAAAAATTTGTTTTTCCAGTAAAACTTTAGAAATTGAAGGAAATATTAAGCAAGCTCATTTTGTTTTAACTCAGATACCAGTGGTGTTGGCGGATAAATTTGAACCTCTTGTCTCTCTACTACTTTGGGTACAAATTTTGCCAGAGTCTTTGAATTTTTTCATGTGAGGAAGGTATACAGCTAGGTTACAGAAGGTCAGTGGTTCTGCTCAGGTGCCCACTTATGCCTGAATTTATGCAAGAAGGGGCACCTGATATCTTCAAGCACCAATAAAACTGGTGTTAAAACCAAACCAAAATATCATTCATTTAGCCGGTTCCTTTGAAAAAGTGATTACATACATGAGACACATCAGAATTTAAACTGGACTGTGTCACTTTTTGATTTCAGAAATTTATTTCTGATTTTTAGAATCGGGCCGAAAGGTCGCGGTGCTTATAATAGACTGATGTCTACACTTATGCTTATTCAGCCTTTATTTATTAATATAATTGATGTTGTTCATATTTGGTAGGTAGATACATTTGTTGGTCTCTAACTTATGGATGAGTAAGGGGATCACTAAGGTTAATTGCTGCAGTGCAAAACATTAGGCTACACTTCCTTATATATCCTTTATTTATTGACTGATGTCTTTCAGCCAGTTGGTAAATATGTTTGATGGGCCTGTAACTAGATGGAGGAAGTGGGCTCACTTGTGCTAAAAATAGATTTTACACTTTTGCTCTTTAACTGCTTAAAGATATGACCATCCTTTTGCATTACCTCCGCTTTAAAGAGTTTTCAAATAGGCTAGAACTACTGTTTAATACATTGAAACTTAGGGCCGTGGGTTCAAACCCCAGAAGGGTCAACTTTTTTTTAGCTCGACTATTCGATAAGAATAAGTAGAGCTATTGCAGTCACCCGAGCGTCGGCGTCGGCGTAACCACTTATGTTAAAGTTTTTGTAATAGTTCAAATATTTTCAAAGTCCATTGACATATGGCTTTGAAACTTTGCACACTTGTTCACCATCATGACCCCAATCTGTAGACAGGAGGAGGTAACTCTATCAAGCATTTTGACAGAATTATGCCCCTTTTTCGACTTAGAATTTACGTTAAAGTTTTTGTAATAGTTAAAATATTTTCAAAGTCAATTGACATATGGCTTTGAAACTTTGTACACTTGTTCACCATCATGACCCCAACCTGTACACAGGAGGAGGTAACTCTATCAAGCATTTTGACAGAATTATGCCCCTTTTTTTGACTTAGAATTTACGTTAAAGTTTTTGTAATAGTTCAAATATTTTCCAAGTCCATTGACATATGGCTTTGAAACTTTGCACACTTGTTCACCATCATGACCCAATCTGTAGACTGGAGGAGGTAACTCTATCAAGCATTTTGACAGAATTTACCCCTTTTTCGACTTAGAATTTACGTTAAAGTTTTTGTAATAGTTCAAATATTTTCAAAGTCCATTGACATATGGCTTTGAAACTTTGCACACTTGTTCACCATCATGACCCCAACCTGTAGACAGGAGGAGGTAACTCTATCAAGCATTTTGACAGAATTATGCCCCTTTTTCGACTTAGAATTTACGTTAAAGTTTTTGTAATAGTTCAAATATTTTCCAAGTCCATTGACATATGGCTTTGAAACTTTGCACACTTGTTCACCATCCTGATCCCAACCTGTAGACAGGAGGAGGTAACTCTATCAAGCATTTTGACAGAATTATGCCCCTTTTTCGACTTAGAATTTACGTTTAAGTTTTTGTAATAGTTAAAATATTTTCCAAGTCCATTGACATATGGCTTTGAAACTTTGCACACTTGTTCACCATCCTGATCCCAACCTGTAGACAGGAGGAGGTAACTCTATCAAGCATTTTGACAGAATAATGCCCCTTTTTCGACTTAGAATTTACGTTAAAGTTTTTGTAATAGTTAAAATATTTTCAAAGTCCATTGACATATGGCTTTGAAACTTTGCACACTTGTTCACCATCATTACTCCAACCTGTAAACAGGAGGAGGTAACTGTATCAAGCATTTTTTTACTATCAAGCACTTAGAATAGTCGAGCGTTGCTGTCCTACCGACAGCTCTTGTTTTCTTTTAAAATTATTTATGTATCTCTCATATCCCTTTTTGGAAGAAAACATGTTTGATTTTAATTATTTAATTAATATATGACTGTATTTATTGGCTAAATAATGCTAAATCTAATAACAAATATGGTACCTGATATTTTCAAAGTGTAATAAAATCATAACTACACGATAGAAGTATTTAGTATTTTACAAGATCAATCAATTTTCTTTCTAGAAAATTTAGTGAAACAGGCACACATTTGAGTAAATTTAACCCATTACTTCATATACACGCCTTTTAACGCCTTTTTCACCCCCCCCCCCTTTTTGTTGTCTCAAATGATGAAAAAATGCCTTATTTAGGCCCCAAACACTTGTTTTTGTTTGAGAAATGTTGTTAAAAAAAGTGACCTCTTTTTCGGCGGGGCCCCCCAACCAAAAGATACATCAGGGGTTGCCAGAAGGGGGATGTGCCCCCTTCTGTTTGGGGGGGGGGTTTGAAGGGGGGAGGAGTCCCCCTCATCGCCAAGAAAATTTTGGACTTGTGAGAGGCTGTAAATGACCCCAGATTGATCATAAGGTAACGTGTAACCAACGCTGAAAAGCATTTGACTCTATCTCAATCCATTGAGAAGTTGCAGCACTTTGAAATCAATTTTGATGGAAAAAATCAACGCAAAATAGTGATTTTTGGCAATTTTGAGATGTCCCTTCGTTGCCATGGTAACAGAAAATTTAAGCCTGAGCATGTTGTTGCAAGGGCAATGGTCCAGTCAACATTTGTGCCAAGTTTGATTAGTGTTGAAGCAGTTTTTATAGTATTATAGCAATTTGAACTTGTAACGGGAGACTTTTCAATGAAAACAGCCATTTTTCACAAAATGCTCATGAAGTAATGGGTTAAGGGAACTCTTTTTAATTAGGCTCTCTAAGTAGAAAGTTGGTGGAACACGTGTTAAAAATGGTTGGGGTTGGGTAATATTTTTATACATATTTCATAAATTTTGAGTAGAAACATTCATTTTGCTTATGCAAATTGTTAATTTAATATTTAACCAAAAAATAATGGGAAACATTTTTTATTAGGATGATATTGTAGATTATTTAAAGGTTCTGTATTTCTGAAAAAGTGTCCATGATTGAATTGAGAAAAATACCATAACTCAGTTTCTGTACAGTAAAGTTTGTATAAATTTTGCATATGGGTGTCCTAGCTTTAAGATATATATCTGACCTATGTTGTCAATTTTTTCAGTTCCTTATAGTGGCTGTTAGGATGGTCTTATCTTAATTTATTGATCAATGTGCATTTAACAGACAGTATGGTTAATGTTTTACTGTTAAAGCTCTGAGAACAACTATCTTTGTTTTTATTTCAGATGGACTTGGCAACATTTTTGATATCAAGAGCCAGTCATAATCTTAGTCTAGCAAATTATTTTTTCTGGTAAGTTTTCATTTAATTTACTTTAATGCTATTATGTTTTTTATTTCGCAAAAGTTTCTCCTGATTTGTTAATTCTAGTTATTATATTGGTGAATGATGGGCACGGAACAGGTTGTTTTTGGTCAATAACTTAAGAAGAGCGGTGGCCTAGTGGTAAAGGTGTCTGCCTCTCAACCCAGAGATCATGGGTTCGAGCCCTACTCCGGTCACGACCATGTTTCTTCATATGACACCATTACTGGTTGGTTCCAGGAAGCAGACTCGAAAGTGATTAATATAAGTCGCAATCGAGCTTAAATAAATATGTTTAAACCAATAACTGCAGTTCAGATTGACTAATTGTAATTTAATCTGGTATATTGTAAGCCTATGTGAATACCTCCCTTGGAATAACCCCTTTGTTACTATGATGGTCACAATCCATAACAGCAGTTAGGAATGAGAAATTGTGATTAAACTTGGTATATAGAAGCTTATGTATTGACCTTGTTTTGGATTGCTCCTGGCAGCAAAGGGTCATGGTCAAGGGTATTGTTACTAAAAATAGAAAAAATAATTTCCAGTTGATTGCTTCAATTAGAAATAAAAAATGGATCTTATATTGGAACCAATGAAGACAAATTTTCTGTATATAGCTTTGCCATCAAATTGGGTTTTTTTTTTCTCAAAAAAAAAGAAGTAAAAGTTTATGCAAGAGTACAAAATTAGGTTCTTCAACAACTTGTAATTTTTAAAATATTTTTTTTGAAAATAATAGGTATGAATAATGTTCTCTTTAAATTGTATAGCTTGAGTGTTGTTTATCTAAGTTTTACTATAAATTGTTTTTACAGGTACTTGATGGTTGAGAGTGAGGACCATGAATCAGAGAAAGATCAGAAAACCAAAGACATGTATTATAGTGTGTTCAGACGATTCAGTGATGTTTTAGTTAAGGTATGACATGTATTATAGTGTGTTCAGATGATTCAGTGATGTCTTAGTTAAGGTAAGAAATGTATTATAGTGTGTTCAGACGATTCAGTGATAATTTAGTTAAGGTAAGTCATGTATTATAGTGTGTTCAGATGATTTAGTGATGTCTTAGTTAAGGTAAGACATGTATTGTAGTGTGTTCAAACGATTCAGTGATGTCTTAGTTAAGGTTAGACATGTATTATAGTGTGTTCAGATGATTCAGTGATGTCTTAGTTAAGGTTAGACATGTATTATAGTGTGTTCAGACAATTCAGTGATGTCTTAGTTAAGGTATGACATGTATTATAGTGTGTTCAGACGAATCAGTGATGTCTTAGTTAAGGTTAGACATGTATTATAGTGTGTTCAGACGATTCAGTGATGTCTTAGTTAAGGTAAGACATGTATTATAGTGTGTTCAGACGATTCAGTGATGTCTTAGTTAAGGTTAGACATGTATTATAGTGTGTTCAGACGATTCAGTGATGTCTTAGTTAAGGTAAGACATGTATTATAGTGTGTTCAGATGATTCAGTGATGTCTTAGTTAAGGTTAGACATGTATTATAGTTTATTCAAACAATTCAGTGATGTCTTAGTTAAGGTAAGACATGTATTATAGTGTGTTTCAGATGATTCAGTGATGTCTTAGTTAAGGTTAGACATGTATTATAGTGTGTTCAGATGATTCAGTGATGTCTTAGTTAAGGTTAGACATGTATAATAGTTTATTCAAACAATTCAGTGATGTCTTAATTAAGGTTAGACATGTATTATAGTTTATTCAAACAATTCAGTGATGTCTTAGTTAAGGTAAGACATGTATTATAGTGTATTTAAACAATTCAGTGATGATTTAGTTAAGGTAAGTCATGTATTATAATGTGTTCAGACAATTCATGATGTCTTAGTAAAGGTTAGACGTAAAGGTTAGACATGTATTATAGTGTGTTCAGATGATTTAGTGATGTCTGAGTTAAGGTAAGACATGTATTATAGTGTGTTCAGACGATTCAGTGATGTCTTAGTTAAGGTTAGACATGTATTATAGTGTATTCAGACGATTCAGTGATGTCTTAGTTAAGGTAAGTCATGTATTATAGTGTGTTCAGACGATTCAGTGATGATTTAGTTAAGGTAAGTCATGTATTATAATGTGTTCAGACAATTCATGATGTCTCAGTAAAGGTTAGACATGTATTATAGTGTGTTCAGACAATTCATGATGTCTTAGTAAAGGTTAGACATGTATTATAGTGTGTTCAGACGATTCAGTGATGTCTTAGTTAAGGTAAGTCATGTATTATAGTGTGTTCAGATGATTCAGTGATGTCTTAGTTAAGGTAAGTCATGTATTATAATGTGTTCAGATGATTCAGTGATGTCTTAGTTAAGGTTAGACATGTATTATAGTGTGTTCAGACAATTCAGTGATGTCTTAGTTAAGGTTAGACATGTATTATAGTGTGTTCAGATCATTCAGTGATGTCTTAGTTAAGGTTAGACATGTATTATAGTGTGTTCAGATGATTCAGTGATGTCTTAGTTAAGGTAAGTCATGTATTTTAGTGTGTTCAGATGATTCAGTGATGTCTTAGTTAAGGTAAGTCATGTATTATAGTGTGTTCAGATGATTCAGTGATGTCTTAGTTAAGGTAAGTCATGTATTATAGTGTGTTCAGACAATTTAGTGATGTCTTAGTTAAGGTAAGACATGTATTATAGTGTGTTCAGATGATTCAGTGATGTCTTAGTTAAGGTTAGACATGTATTATAGTGTGTTCAGATGATTCAGTGATGTCTTAGTTAAGGTAAGTCATGTATTTTAGTGTGTTCAGATGATTCAGTGATGTCTTAGTTAAGGTTGGTCATGTATTATAGTGTGTTTCAGATGATTCAGTGATGTCTTAGTTAAGGTAAGTCATGTATTATAGTGTGTTCAGACAATTCAGTGATGTCTTAGTTAAGGTTGGACATGTATTATAGTGTGTTTCAGACAATTCAGTGATGTCTTAGTTAAGGTTAGACATGTATTATAGTGTGTTCAGACGATTTAGTGATGTCTTAGTTAAGGTAAGACATTTACTATAATGTGTTCAGACAATTCATGATGTCTCAGTAAAGGTTAGACATGTATTATAGTGTGTTCAGACAATTCATGATGTCTTAGTAAAGGTTAGACATGTATTATAGTGTGTTCAGACGATTCAGTGATGTCTTAGTTAAGGTAAGTCATGTATTATAGTGTGTTCAGATGATTCAGTGATGTCTTAGTTAAGGTAAGTCATGTATTATAATGTGTTCAGATGATTCAGTGATGTCTTAGTTAAGGTTAGACATGTATTATAGTGTGTTCAGACAATTTAGTGATGTCTTAGTTAAGGTAAGACATGTATTATAGTGTGTTCAGATCATTCAGTGATGTCTTAGTTAAGGTTAGACATGTATTATAGTGTGTTCAGATGATTCAGTGATGTCTTAGTTAAGGTAAGTCATGTATTTTAGTGTGTTCAGATGATTCAGTGATGTCTTAGTTAAGGTAAGTCATGTATTATAGTGTGTTCAGACAATTCAGTGATGTCTTAGTTAAGTTATGACATGTATTATAGTGTGTTCAGACGATTCAGTGATGTCTTAGTTAAGGTATGACATGTATTATTGTGTGTTCAGATGATTCAGTGATGTCTTAGTTAAGGTTAGACATGTATTATAGTGTGTTCAGATGATTCAGTGATGTCTTAGTTAAGGTAAGTCATGTATTTTAGTGTGTTCAGATGATTCAGTGATGTCTTAGTTAAGGTTGGTCATGTATTATAGTGTGTTCAGATGATTCAGTGATGTCTTAGTTAAGGTAAGTCATGTATTATAGTGTGTTCAGACAATTCAGTGATGTCTTAGTTAAGGTTGGACATGTATTATAGTGTGTTCAGACAATTCAGTGATGTCTTAGTTAAGGTTAGACATGTATTATAGTGTGTTCAGACGATTTAGTGATGTCTTAGTTAAGGTAAGACATTTACTATAGTGTGTTCAGACAATTTAGTGATGTCTTGATGATGTTTTAGTTAATGTAGTGTATTGTTTTCCTTTCAGAAAATAGCAAAACTTTATCATTGAGTCAAAGTTCAAGTTCACAGTGATACCTAACATAAAATCATTGTTACATTCAATAAGGAGTTTGTTAAATTGACCCATGGCCAAAAGATTACCCCTTTCATTTTAAGGTCACAGTGACATTTGATATTGCGATTCTTTGTCTAATTAAGAGAGTATTTAGTCTGAGACTTTTGAAATTCATTTATTAATATGATACTTTATTTTAAACTTATTACTTTCAACACTTTTGATACATATTACTTATGTATGACAATTAACCTTCATGAAATACGCGCATCTAAATATGTCATAAAGGCAAATGAAGTGGGGGCATCAGTGTCTTATGTACTCATTTATAATTTTGTTTGTAACTAAAATAATGGTTGTAACTTTTGATTGTTATAGGGAGGTCAGGACTGTCGTCACAGGAGAGCTATGTTGATTAGACAACAGACATTTATGGACAAACTTGTTAACCTTGTTAGAATGGTCATGAGAGAGAGTGGAAACCGTAAGAAAAAGGTAACTGTTTCACGATATTCTGGCTCACTGTTCTGGCGGTTTAAAGTGGATTAAGTCAGTGCCGTAATGTGAAATAAACATAACGTTTATATTATTGTCAAGACTGATCAAGTTTCCTAAGTTTCCTTATCGGGTCTTTCGTAAACTGGGTGCTTCCATGACTGATTGGTTAAGGGTACTGACTTTAAATCACTTTTTGACCCTTGTGATTATGGGATTGAATCTTGTCAATGACACGAGGAATCTATTGCGCCATCTAATATATATGTAAGGTCAGTGATTCAACTCGGGTGTCTGCTTGTGTCTGAAACATTGCAAAAAAAAGGGCAGCTGAGATCTTCAATAAAACTGGAAAACTGTCATAATTATGGCCCTGACTTTGGTTGTGTGACTTTCAATAAGAAATGCCTATATGTCTCTTGTGAAATTATAACAGGTATCTGAAGCTGGTGATTGTAGTGTGATACTGAACTTGTCATAGAATGTCAATATGTTTCACACCAAAAATCATTTTGTATAGATAAGAAGTCATTTTAGATTTATACATGTATTTGCAAAGAATGAGTCCAGTTCTTAAATTCAAATTTTAGCAATTCTATAATTTAGTTGTACATGTATTTAAAAGATGCACAGGTGCCTTGATAAATAATATTTGATGATCACTATCTGAATGTCATGTTGTCATAATATACAATGTACATATTTATTTTACATTACAGATTGAAAAACTCCAGGCATTATTACAAGATTCAGAAGTTTGTAAGATAAATTTCTCAGATTTTGAAGCATTACCCCTCCCACTGGATCCTGATATAAAGGTGAATGCCATCAGCCCAGAGTCAGCTTCATTGTTTAAGGTAATTACTAACTCACAATTTCTGCTTTCGAAGCAACAGACCTTTTGTGTTATACCTTTGAACCAGTATTGAAAAGGAGTCATGGAATCTCACTAGAGTTACTCTGACATCAAATACACCTGAAAAATATCATTTTTTATATGTAACATTATTATTAATAAAAATTTTCTGGTCCATTGAAGAAGATGACTACCAGAGGTTTAGGCAAGAATTTCACTTAACATGACATGTCTGGTAAAACTTAAGCCGTTGCAAAGATTTTGATGAAACTTTTGATTCTTGGCCCTGGGTGGAAGTGTACATAGATAAACCTTTACAAGAGCGTTGGCATGATTAAAAATATATGTAAGTTTGGAAAAAGTTCTTATTAAATTTTGATACTTGTGCATGGTTTTTTTTTTCATTATCTGAAACGTTTCAAGCCCTCCTGATTATTTTCTGCAATATCATTATGTTTGTGTGTTTTAGAGTAACTTAATGCCATGTAGATTAGCATTCCATACAACAGATGACAAGAGTTATATTACTATATTTAAACATGGTGATGATCTCAGACAGGACCAGTTGATGTTACAGATGTTTACCTTGATGGACAGGGTAAGATTATTATATATTTTTCAAACATACCTGAAATGTTTTTGTAATGAAAAGAAAGCTAAGTATATGGTCCTACATGTCTGAAAACTTTTGTTGAAACTTAATAAGTCTAATATCGATCCTTCTCCCTCTTTGTGTTAGATGAGTTACAAACAGATGTTGGAACTTGCTTGAGTTAGGTAAAATAAAAGTTATAAAATATAACGCTAATGTTGGGTATAGAATTTGACCCACAATTTCCAAGTTAGGTAAAGAAGTTTGTGCACAATGCCAAAAAATTGCAAAATTTCAATGAGGGTATTACATGGTGAGAAAAATGTGTAGCCTGACTGGGACTCGAACCTGGGAGCCTTGGAATATTGTTACGCAGCTCTATGAATGAGCTATCTTTCCGCTTACACAGGTGTTCAGCATGTTGATTGGTCACTATGCTTTTACTAAATATATATTTTACTTTTTTTCCCTTTTTTTGTGGGGAGGGGGGTGGGTTTGGGGCGTAGGTACCAACTAATCATTAGTAGTCGGTCACTTGCGGAAAAATTGATTAGTATTTACTGGTAACTTATCCAGAAAAACTGATTAAGTGAATCAACCACAAAGATTCGACCAAAATTGTGTTAAATCTTTCTTAAAACCAGGCAAACAAACAAAAGGTTATGTTAATATATTCATCCTAATAGATGTAGTGTTCAAATAGAGCTTTCACTTTTCAGCTTCTGAGACAAGAAAATTTGGATTTGAAGCTGACCCCTTATAAAGTTCTCGCCACTAGCACAAAACATGGTGAGTGAAACTAGTTGAATGTTTTGATTTCAAGGCATTTGCCTTGTCCTTTTTCCCAGGACATTTTCCCTCTCTCTCTCTCCTTCCACAACCACAAACACATGTGATGTTTAAAACTATGTTATATTTTAACATAAAAAGCAATTTTGTCTATCCTGTAGCTTATTGTTTGAGTTAAAATGTTTGAATCTATACTGTCTACAATATTTTTTTCTTGGCAATGTAAGTTTGATTTCTTTTTGAAAAAAATTCCATATAGATTATTTATTTGAGTGGAATTAAGAAGATAGGTTGTCGCTTTTTTATGTCATTTTAAATTCTTCTCTTAATGCAATCAGTCTCACACATATCATTTCTCATGGCATTCTCATGTATTGTTTGATATCGTCAACATTTGAGCTGCGTCATGACAAAACCAACATAATGGGTTTGCGACCAGCATGGATCCAGACCAGCCTGCGCATCCGCGCAGTCTGATCAGGATCCTTGCTGTTCGCTATCAGTTTCTCTACTTGTAATAGAGTTTGTAAGCGAACAGCATGGATCCTGATCAGACTGCGCGGATGCGCAGGCTGGTCTGGATCCATGCTGGTAGCAAACACATTATGTTGGTTTTGTCGTGACCCGGCTCATTAAGTGTGTTGTTATCTGACATGAACCTCAAGCTTTAGGTGATTGGTTAAGTTTACTAAGGCATAAATTATATTTTTCTACCTTTTTTCTCTTAGTAAGACCATGTTGTAGCAACATTGGGAAGAAAATGTTAGTGTCACATATTCTCTTTCTCTCTGTTTTGCTGAAATCTTAATATGAATGAAATTTGTTTAGAAATTTTTTGAAAATTTCTTTTAATATGATATGTATAAGCAGTAAGTTTTATTATGTTTTAGGTTTTGTACAGTTTGTAGAGTCATTGTCAGTGGCAGAGGTATTAGACAAGGAGGTGACTATACAGAATTACTTCAGGAAACAAGGACCATGTGAGGGTGCTCCATATGGAATACAGCCGGAAGTTATGGATAACTATGTAAAGAGCTGTGGTGAGTAAATCTGTAAGGAGAGATCAATTCAATGTCATGTGTTTTTGCATAGTTTTAGCTTGACTTTTCGAAGAACAGAGAAAGCTATTTTACTCATGTCAGTGACTGCTTCAACACACTTTAGTTAGAATTTTGCATGCAAGTTGGTATCTTCAAAACTACCGTGGGGAATGAGCTGAAAGTTTTTACACATATTTGAGAGCATAAAAGGAAGTCTATATTGAAGGCCCATAATTTTAACATGAATTTAACAGAGTTATGGCCCTTTTTGAACTTAGAATATTGTACATTATCAAGACTCTTGTTTTACTATAAAGAACTGAGAATAAAGAGACACACAATCCTTCCAACATGTATCACCACTGACAAACAGTGTACGTGTTTTATTCTGTTATTGTTTTCTATTATTTGTGTTAATTACTATTAGCATAATTAGCATGTTGAAGTAACCTTTACATCTGAAACTTAAAACATGATAAGTTTTTAGCTCACCTGTCACAAAGTGACAGGGTGAGCTTTTGTGATCGCTTTTCGTCCGGCGTCCGTCCGTCCGTCGTCCGTCCGTAAACTTTTGCTTTAAATGACATCTCCTCATAAACAACTGAGCCAATTTCATCCAAACTTCACAGGAATGTTCCTTTGGTGGTCACCTTTAAAAATTGTTCAAAGAATTTAATTCCATGCAGAACTCTGGTTGCCATGGCAACCGAAAGAAAAATCTTTAAATATCTTCTTTTAAACAACCCTAAGAGCTAGAGCTTTAGATATTTGGCATGAAACACATCTTCTAGTGAGTGTCTACCAAGTTTGTTCAATAAAAGCCCTGGGGTCAAAATTGGCCCCGCCCCAGGGGGTCATTGATTTTCCCTATATGCATATAGTAAAAACTTAAAAAATCTTCTTTTAAAGAACCCAAAGAGCTAGAGCTAAGATATTTGGCATGAAACATCTTCTAGTGAGTGTCTACCAAGTTTGTTCAAATAAAAGCCCTTGGGTCAAAATTGGCACCGCCCCGGGGGGTCATTGACTTTCCCTATATGCATATAGTAAAAACTTAAAAAATCTTCTTTTAAAAGAACCGTAAGAGCTAGAGCTTAGATATTAAGCATGAAACATCTTCTAGTGAATGTCTCTAACCAAGTTTGTTCAAATAAAAGCCCTGGGGTCAAAATTTGGCACCGCCCCGGGGGGTCATTGATTTTCCCTATATGCATATAGTAAAACTTAAAAAATCTTCTTTTAAAGAACGTAAGAGCTAGAGCTTAGATATTTAAGCATGAAACATCTTCTAGTGAATGTCTACCAAGTTTGTTCAAATAAAAGCCCTGGGGTCAAAATTGGCCCCGCCCAAAGGGGGTCATTGATTTTCCCTATATGCATATAGTAAAAACTTAAAAAAATCTTCTTTTTTAAAGAACCCAAAGAGCTAGAGCTAAGATATTAAGCATTGGAAACATCTTGCTAGTGAGTGTCTACCAAGTTTGTTCAAATTAAAGCCCTGGGGTCAAAATTGGCCCAACTCCGGGGGGTCATTGATTTTTCCCAATTATGCATATAGTAAAAACTTAAAAAAATCTTCTTTTAAAGAACCATAAGAGCTAGAGCTTAGATATTTGGCATGAAACATCTTCTAGTGAATGTCTACCAAGTTTGTTCAAATAAAAAGCCCTGGGGTCAAAATTGACCCCGCCCCAGGGGGTCATAGATTTTCCCTATATGCATATAGTAAAAACTTAAAAAATCTCTTTTAAAGAACCCAAAGAGCTAGAGCTAAGATATTTAGCATGAAACATCTTCTAATGAGTGTCTACCAAGTTGTTTCAAATAAAAAGCCCTGGGGTCAAAATTGGCCCCGCCCCAGGGGGTCATTGATTTTCCCTATATGCATATAGTAAAAACTTAAAAAATCTTCTTTTAAAGAACTCAAAGAGCTAGAGCTAAGATATTTAGCATGAAACATGTTCTAATGGGTGTCTACCAAGTATATTCAAATAAAAAGCCCTGGGGTCAAAACTGGCCCCGCCCGGGGTGGGGGGGGTCATTTGATTTTCCTTATATGTGTATAGCAAAAACTTAAAAATCTTCTTTGAAAAAACCCAAATAGCTAGAGTTTAGATATTAAGCATGAAACATCTTTAAGTAAATATCTACAAAGTTTGTTCAAATAAAAGCCCTGGGGTCAAAACTGGCCCTGCCCCAGTGGTTGTCATTTGTTTTTAACTATATGTGTATAGTAAAAACTTTAAAAAATCTTCTTTAAAAAACCCAATGAGCTAGAACTTAGATGTTTAGCATGAAACATCTTCTTATGGGTGTCTACCAAGTCTGTTCAAATAAACAGATAAAAGCACTTGGGTAAAAATTGGCCCGGGGGTGGGGGGCCTATATACAGGTGAGCGACCTCAGGGCCATCATGGCCCTCTTGTTTTCTAATATGATATAATTGGAGAAAATATGATTTTGTGGCATGTTTAAAATGTTCATCATATGAATAAATATTGATAAAATGCCATTTTAGTGAATACAGATGTAAATTCATGTCTCATGGTTTTGGTAACTGGTTACCAAATTCTCATTCTGGTTTTCACAAGATCTAGATATTATACTCAGTTCCTATGATATCACTATATTTACATTTTCTGCTACTGCTAGTAAAAGCAACACATGACGATGCTAATATTTTCAGAACTGTCTAACTAAATTGCATAGCAGCTGCCAATAAATTTAATTTTGTGAACAATGAATATATTTGTGTTAGGAAAACTTGTTTTTTTTTTAAATGTTCATATTTGACTACGGTTTTTACACAGTCAATTAATATATGCTCTAATCCCATATATTGACATATCGTCTGTTCATATTGTTTGAATTTAACATGAAGTTAACTGTTTGAATTTTTTCACAACTTAATTCGAAGACTGTGACACTTCTATCCTTCAATACTTGCATTTTTAGCTCACCTGTCACAAAGTGACAGGGTGAGCTTTTGTGATCGCTTTTCGTCCGGCGTCCGTCCGGCGTCCGTCCGTCCATCCGTAAACTTTTGCTTTAAATGACATCTACTCATAAACCACTGAGCCAATTTCATTCAAACTTCACAGGAATGTTCCTTTGGTGGTCACCTTTAAAAATTGTTCAAAGAATTTAATTCCATGCAGAACTCTGGTTGCCATGGCAACCGAAAGAAAAATCTTTAAATATCTTCTTTTAAACAGCCCTAAGAGCTAGAGCTTAGATATTTGGCATGAAACATCTTCTAATGAGTGTCTACCAAGTTTGTTCAAATAAAAGCCCTGGGGTCAAAATTGGCCCCGCCCCAGGGGGTCATTGATTTTCCCTATATGCATATAGTAAAAACTTAAAAAATCTTCTTTTAAAGAACCCAAAGAGCTAGAGCTAAGATATTTGGCATGAAACATCTTCTAATGAGTGTCTACCAAGTTTGTTCAAATAAAAGCCCTGGGGTCAAAATTGGCCCCGCCCCAGGGGGTCATTGATTTTCCCTATATGCATATAGTAAAAACTTAAAAAATCTTCTTTTAAAGAACCCAAAGAGCTAGAGCTAAGATATTTGGCATGAAACATCTTCTAATGAGTGTCTACCAAGTTTGTTCAAATAAAAGCCCTGGGGTCAAAATTGGCCCCGCCCCGGGGGTCATTGATTTTCCCTATATGCATATAGTAAAAACTTGAGAAATCTTCTTTTAAAGAACCGTAAGAGCTAGAGCTTAGATATTTAGCATGAAACATCTTCTAGTGAATGTCTACCAAGTTTGTTCAAATATAAGCCCTGGGGTCAAAATTGGCCCCGCCCCAGGGGGTCATTGATTTTTCCTATATGCATATAGTAAAAACTTAAAAAATCTTCTTTTAAAGAACCCAAAGAGCTAGAGCTAAGATATTTAGCATGAAACATCTTCTAATGAGTGTCTACCAAGTTTGTTCAAATAAAAGCCCTGGGGTCAAAATTGGCCCCGCCCCAGGGGGTCATTGATTTTTCCTATATGCATATTGTAAAAACTTAAAAAATCTTCTTTTAAAGAACTCAAAAAGGTAGAGCTAAGATATTTAGCATGAAACATGTTCTAATGGGTATACCAAGTATGTTCAAATAAAAGCCCTGGGGTCAAAACTGGCCCCGCCCCAGGGGGTCATTGATTTTCCTTATATGTGTATAGCAAAAACTTAAAAATCTTCTTTTGAAAAAAACCCAAATAGCTAGAGTTTAGATATTAAGCATGAAACATCTTTAAGTAAATATCTACAAAGTTTGTTCAAATAAAAGCCGGGGGGTCAAAACTGGCCCTGCCCCAGGGGTGTCATTGTTTTTAACTATATGTGTATAGTAAAAACTTAAAAAATCTTCTTTTAAAACAACCCAATGAGCTAGAACTTAGATGTTTAGCATGAAACATCTTCTTATGGGTGTCTACCAAGTCTGTTCAAATAAACAAATAAAAGCCCTTGGGTAAAAATTGGCCCGAGGGGTGGGGGGGCTATATACAGGTGAGCGACCTCAGGGCTATCATGGCCCTCTTGTTATCTAAATACCACTCATTGTGATTGGCTTATGCTGTACAATTTGGCCTTTATTGCTAGTTTTAATCCTAAAGTAAGCTTTGGGGCATAATGCCTATTGACAACAACAAATCTTGTTTAAGTTTCATTGCACGAAATAATGATTTTCAATTAATGAACAGTTCCAAAATTTAAGCACATTTTTAGCTCACCTGTCACAAAGTGACAGGGTGAGCTTTTGTGATCGCTTTTCGTCCGTCTGTCGTCCGTCCGTCCGTCCGTAAACTTTTGCTTTAAATGACATCTTCTCATAAACCACTGAGCCAATTTCATCCAAACTTCACAGGAATGTTCCTTTGTTGGTCACCTTTAAAAATTGTTCAAAGAATTTAATTCCATGCAGAACTCTGGTTGCCATGGCAACCGAAAGAAAAATCTTTAAATATCTTCTTTTAAACAACCCCAAGAGCTAGAGCTTAGATATTTGGCATGAAACATCTTCTAGTGAGTGTTTACCAAGTATGTTCAAATAAAAGCCCTGGGGTAAAAATTGCCCCTGCCCCAGGGGGTCATTGATTTTCCCTATATGCATATAGTAAAAACTTAAAAAATCTTCTTTTCAAGAACCCAAAGAGCTAGAGCTAAGATATTTGGCATGAAACATCTTTTAGTGAGTGTCTACCAAGTTTGTTCAAATAAAAGCCCTTGGGTAAAAATTTGCCCCGCCCCAGCGGGTCATTGATTTTCCCTATATGCATATAGTAAAAACTTTAAAAAATCTTTTTTTAAAGAACCCAAAGAGCTAGAGCTAAGATATTAAGCATGAAACATCTTCTAGTGAGTGTCTACCAAGTTTGTTCAAAATAAAGCCCTGTGGTCAAAATTGGCCCCACCCCGGGGGGTCATTGATTTTCCCTATATGCATATAGTAAAAACTTAAAAAAATCTTCTTTTAAAGAACCATAAGAGCTAGAGCTTAGATATTTGGCATGAAACATCTTCTAGTGAATGTCTACCAAGTTTGTTCAAATAATAGCCCTTGGGTCAAAATTGACCCCGCCCCAGGGGGTCATCGATTTTCCCTATATGCATATAGTAAAAACTTAAAAAATCTTCTTTTAAAGAACCCAAAGAGCTAGAGCTAAGATATTAAGCATGAAACATCTTCTAGTGAGTGTTTACCAAGTTTGTTCAAATTAAAGCCCTGTGGTCAAAATTGGCCCCACCCCGGGGGGTCATTGATTTTCCCTATATGCATATAGTAAAAACTTAAAAAATCTTCTTTTAAAGAACCCATAGAGCTAGAGCTTAGATATTTGACATGAAACATCTTCTAGTGAATGTCTACCAAGTTTGTTCAAATAAAAGCCCTTGGGTCAAAATTGACCCCGTCCCAGGGGGTCATAGATTTTCCCTATATGCATATAGTAAAAACTTACAAAATCTTCTTTTAAAGAACCCAAAGAGCTAGAGCTAAGATATTTAGCATGAAACATCTTCTAATAAGTGTCTACCAAGTTTGTTCAAATAAAAGCCCTGGGGTCAAAATTGGCCCCGCCCCAGGGGGTCATTGATTTTCCCTATATGCATATAGTAAAAACTTAAAAAATCTTCTTTTAAAGAACTCAAAGAGCTAGAGCTAAGATATTTAGCATGAAACATGTTCTAATGGGTGTCTATCAAGTACATGTATGTTCAAATAAAAGCCCTGGGGTCAAAACTGGCCCGGCCCGGGTGGGGGGGGTCATTGATTTTCCTTATATGTGTATAGCAAAAACTTAAAAAATCTTCTTTGAAAAAACCCAAATAGCTAGAGTTTAGATATTAAGCATGAAACATCTTTAAGTAAATATCTACAAAGTTTGTTCAAATAAAATCCCGGGGGTCAAAACTGGCCCTGCCCCAGGGGTGTCATTGTTTTTAACTATATGTGTATAGTAAAAACTTGAAAAAATCTTCTTTTAAAAAACCCAATGAGCTAGAAATTAGATGTTTAGCATGAAACATCTTCTTATGGGTGTCTACCAAGTTTGTTCAAATAAACAAATAAAAGCCCTTGGGTAAAAATTGGCCCGGGGGTGGGGGGCCTATATACAGGTGAGCGACCTCAGGGCCATCATGGCCTTCTTGTTTATTATTTATAGTTTTTAATAGAAGTTTAAAAAAGATGAAAAATCTAGTCTTAGTTTCTGTAAAATTATCTCAATTAAATATGATTAACAAAAAAGAATAAAACTGTGAAATTAAACATGTTTATATTTCATGTAAATCAGCTGGTTATTGTGTGGTGACATACCTACTTGGTGTTGGCGACAGACATTTAGACAACCTTCTACTTACTAACTCAGGTAAGTTATCCTGCATAGATTTATAAATCACCTACCAGAATATGAGCCGCGTCACGACAAAACAAACATAATGGGTTTGCGACCAGCATGGATCCAGACCAGCCTGCACATCCACGTGTCTGATCAGGATCCATGCTGTTCACTATTAGTTTCTCTATTTGTAATAGGGTTTGTAAGCGAACAGCATGGATCCTGATCAGACTGCGCAGATGCGCAGGCTGGTCCTGATCCATGCTGGTCGCAAACCCATTAGGTTGGTTTTGTCATGACGCGGCTCATATTTGCTTTCTGTTCACCCCACCTGAAATGACACTTTGTATTGTGTTTTAAGAGTGTGACTCTAGAGTAAACTTGAAAAACAAAAATTTGCAAAATCAGAAAGTTTTAACATTCTTTTGACATGTCTGAGGCGAAATTTAGCCGAAATTGTTATTTGATACACTTAAATGAAACAAATGAGAAAAACAAAACAGTAGAAAACATTTCCTGACATATTCAAATACTCTTCTTAGCAGGTGTTGGGGGATATGCCGCCTTTAAGTTTTATTTAGAACAGTATCTAAATACAAAAATTGAGCTTCGGACACAAATGTGCCCTCTAGCCCTTTACTGTTGGCTTACCAATGTTGGGTCAGAAAGAACACTTGGTATTGTCCTCTTTTGTTCTAAGATATTATTGAACATAAAATATTTAGTGTGATATGTAATTATTATTGTAATGTAATGTAAGAAATAAATAAAAAAAAACAACTGTTGAAAAAAAAATAGGATTCAACCAAAAGTAATAAGCATTTTGATGAATGATTCACTTGTTCCTTACCTTTGTGGATTCAATTCCTATCCAGGAGTTAGGGTTCTTTCATGTCAGGTAGCTATGCCGTTAACTTTAAGGGTCAGAGGTTCAACTCTGGTGTCTTTTTATAACTGAAATAGTGCACTGGGGTGCATTTAAAGTCTTCCTCCACCAGTTAAGCTGAAAAGTACTCATTTGGCCTTAAATGTAATGGTGACTTAAAACTCAACCCCTAATAAACTACAGTGAGAAAGCAGTTTTTCTTGTCCAGTATATCTCAATGTATTCATTTTCATTACAGGAAAATTATTTCATATAGACTTTGGATATATACTGGGACGAGACCCAAAGCCTCTTCCTCCACCAATGAAGTTAAGCAAGGAGATGGTTGAAGCAATGGGTGGCAGTACATCTGATCATTTTAAAGACTTCAAACAGCACTGTTATACAGCTTTCCTTGCCCTGAGAAGGTAATTTGAGCCGCGTCATGACAAAACCAACTATAATGGGTTTGCGACAAGCATGTATCCAACACCATGCCTTTGCACATCTGCGCAGTCTGATCAAGATCCATGCTGTTCGCTTACCAACTCTATAACAAGTAGAAAAACTGATAGCGAACAGTATGGATCCTGCACGGATGCTCAGGCTGGTCTCGGTCCTTGCTGGTCGCAAACGCACTATGTTGGTTTTGTTGTGACGCGGCTCATATATTTGTTATGTTGAGTTATAGAAAAAAATATATTATTGAATGTTGTACTAATTTAGCCAACTTATTACAATAAGTTGTTTGATACATAATAATTGTTTATTTTGCTTACTTTACTTGTGTTAAAGTCTATATATCAAAATTTTCATTGTAAAATGATATTTTGATTGAGATATTGTTTAACTTGTCTATCATATAATTGCCTTGCATGGATTAAGAAAACATGCCACAAATTTATTTCTGATTTTAGTTTAAGAAGTCCTCATTTATATTTTAGGTCTGCCAACCTGATATTAAACTTATTTTCACTGATGGTGGATGCTAATATACCAGACATTGCTCTAGAACCTGATAAAACAGTCAAAAAGGTAAAATATTTCCGTATTGCACACAAGTACATGATAAAACAGTCAAAAAGGTAAAATATTTCCTTATTGCACACAAGTACATGATAAAACAGTCAAAAAGGTAAAATATTTCACTATTGCACACAAGTGCATGATAAAATTCTGGAAACAAAGTAAAATATTTCCGTATTGCACACAAGTACATGATAAAACAGTCAAAAAGGTAAAATATTTCCTTATTGCACACAAGTACATGATAAAACAGTCAAAAAGGTAAAATATTTCACTATTGCACACAAGTGCATGATAAAACAGTCAAAAGGTAAAATATTTCACTATTGCACACAAGTGCATGATAAAACAGTCAAAAAGTTAAAATATTTCCGTATTGCACACAAGTGCATGATAAAACAGTCAAAAAGGTAAAATATTTCCGTTTTGCACACAAGTACATGATAAAACAGTCAAAAAGGTATAATATTTCCGTATTGCACACAAGTACATGATAAAACAGTCAAAAAGGTAAAATATTTCCGTATTGCACACAAGTACATGATAAAACAGTCAAAAAGGTAAAATATTTCCGTATTGCACACAAGTACATGATAAAACAGTCAAAAAGGTAAAATATTTCCATATTGCACACAAGTGCATGATAAAACAGTCAAAAAGGTAAAATATTTCACTATTGCACACAAGTGCATGATAAAACAGTCAAAAAGGTAAAATATTTCACTATTGCACACAAGTACATGATAAAACAGTCAAAAAGGTAAAATATTTCACTATTGCACACAAGTACATGATAAAACAGTCAAAATGGTAAAATATTTCCGTATTGCACACAAGTACATGATAAAACAGTCAAAAAGGTAAGATATTTCCGTTTTGTACACAAGTACATGTTAAAAAAGTAAATAAAGTAAACAGTTTCCTTGTTGGACACATATACTTTATAAATAAATTATAAAAGTAAAAGATTACCTTATTACACAGAAGTACATGATAAAACAGTGAAAAAAGTAAATAAGTTCCTTATTGCAAGCACATACATGGTTAAACAGTAAAAAGGGTAAAATATTGCCTTATTGCACACTAATACATCTTAATACATTGAAAAGGGACAACTTTATCTGTTATTGCTCTCATAAATATTATAAAAGGTAATGTCATATTTCTTTCTTTTTTATTGTCTCCCCTGAGGAATTTGTCCAAATCATTTCAGTGTGTTACCTCCCTTGTAAAAAAATTAAAAGTATGGTAAATCTAGACATTTTTGCACTATAAATTTATAAATATTCTTTATTTGTAAATTTTATTTACAGTAAAACCTCTGCAAAATAGCCCTCTGTAGAAAAATACTCACTTTACAAGAACAAAATCAGTTTCTCTGAAAGTTGGAAATCATCATAAATTTAACATTACTATAGACTTACACCTGTCAGCAATTACCATTTTTTGTGTCCCAAAAGGATGTTGATCTTCACAGGTTGGACTGTAGAATATATGATAATGAATAAAGAAGACAACATGTTTTTATATTTCAGGTACAAGACAAGTTTGTGTTACACTTGACAGATGAGGAGGCTGTTGCTTACTTACAGAATTTAATAGATGAAAGTGTGTCTGCTATGATGGCTGCTCTTGTGGAACAAATCCACAAGATGGCGCAGGTATACGTTACTTTCAGATCTTGTCTATTTCTGCCTGCAACCACACTCATTGATTTTTAATTTAAGATTTAGAAAGTGTTCTAGATAGCAAAAATTCATGTAGGCATATAAAAGTGATATATGCTTGGTAATGGCACTAACATTTCAAATAATAAAAATTATGTAAAACATGTAATATGCAAAAACAGCCCATCCTAAGATAGTAAAAGGATAGAAAAGAGGTAAAAATATTCATAAAAACAGAGTAGGCTTGATATTCTATAAATTTTTATATAAATAATTGGGGGTCTTAAATTTTTTGTTTTCCTTATTTCTGCAGCAATGTTAAGCTTACATTGATGTATTTTATTTCTATGGTTTTATGTGTCAATGATTTAATGTAAACATTTAAGAGATGTATGTGATGGTTATGTTGTAGGCATTTATGTGATAGTTCGTTGAGTTAGGATTTCAGACATTTAGATGTTGTGTATTGTCATCATCAGTCAATATGTAAGAAGCTTCGTTTACAATTTAAAAGTATGCAATAACAGCTTCACTTAATTTTTTGAAATAAATATACTGCTGTGTTCTTAAAAAAGTTTTTTAAGTCCCTGTAAGTTGACGGCATATTATACACAAAAAATCAGGTTTATAACAGTTTAATAATGGATTAAGAGCATATTAGATACTTATCTTATGAAAAAAAGTAGCTCTAATATGAAATTATTTGTCATAAACATGGCAAAATGTAAACAAAGTAGTATTCTTGTTTCCAAACAAAATGTCAACATATTTCCACTTGTTGCCAAAAAGCGACAGAAGCAAAAGATGGTTCATAAATATTGCCCAAAGCACCTTACTGGAAGCTATAATAGGACACTAAAAACTAGAAAGCTTTTTGTGAAAATAAAATAAAAGCATTTCTGTTGCATAATGGACCTTTAAGTATGAACATCATAACACCTTTTATGCCCCAGCATCGTTTTCGTTGAACACTCACATACTTTATCAATTAGCAACTATACATAGAAAAGCTTATGTTTATTGCAGTTTTTCAGCTCTGTGCAAAAAAAGTGACATAATACTAATTGACGTGTATCTGTTATTGACATAACCATATGTGTAGGTTTTTATCAACAAATCATTTGGCAGTTTGATTGCTTAACAAATGTAATAAATCATTTAAAACTATGATGATCTTAAATAAAACTATTGTTTTTTGTTGTTGTTTTTTTTACTTATAAGTAAATGATATGTGTAAACATACATGCATAAACATATACGAGGGATGTCCGGAAAGTTCATATACTTCTTCATTTTTTATTGTATAACAATACATACGTTGTACAAATTTTGTCAGCAAAAATGTACATATCTAGTAAACACATTTATGAAAAATTACTGAATTGTGACTTACGTTTGTATTTTTACAGCATTTACATACAACATATATACATCGTCATGGAGCACTTTGACAACGTCAACGGCGTCAATTTAATGTCATGTTTATCCACTATTCAAATTCTTCTGATTTAAACAGCCATGGAACCTGTCTGGCGTATACTTTATACATGTTATGTTCCCTTGCTATTACTTTCTTAATTTCATATTCTACATTTAAAAAAACAACAACAAAGGTGTCACGGGTTCCCATACAGTGTGTGAAAAGTCTGTCTTTTTCAAGGATTGTTGTAACGCAATCATTATCTACGACATTTCGGCCATGCTACTTTTGGTAATCTGATACGTTTCTTATACAAAATACTGTCATCACCGCTTCTTAATCGTGTTTGACAATCAAACACAAGTTGCCCTTAACAATTTATGGTTGATTTTGTTTTTCAAGTAAAGATTATAATCATTATAAGCCTTGCTTTGAAGTTAAATAACATTTCGTTGCTCCGTTCTTGAATTTGACGTCATTTTTGCGACACAAAACCAAGGCAACTTCATTGCCTATAATCGTCGTTAACAAGTTATTTCTTTGTGTATGACGTCGTAATTTTCACTAAATATCAAGCAGTAATAACCTTTGATGTCAGAACATTAAAACAAGAGTTTGCGTTAAAATTACAACTTTCAGCAACTTTTTATTCGAGTAACTATTGTCATGAAATCAAAGTGCTCCGTGATTTGTTGATCATGTTGCCATGGTGATTGGCAATTTGCGAATACAACTTTTATCAAGTTTTTTAATTTAGAAATTTGTAGCAGAATAAATACTTAAGCAAAATATTTAATCATCATATTAATATGACTGCTTATGATAATTTTATAGCCTTGTCTACAAACTTTCCGGACAGCCCTCGTATATATATATATGTGACATTATAATTTGGAAATTTCAGATAGACAGACACATACTGTTAAAATTATATAAATTTCTGTGGGCTTTAGAAATAAAGCATGGGCTGAAATAAGTACTTATGATGTTATAACATGGATTATTTGGATTATAGTTATGCAGTTTTTAGTTATTCACATTTTGTCTCAACTTGAATACAGACGGATATAAATTTTGAATTGTCTGTCCAGCCATTTGACTTATTTATTGACTTATTTGGTTTATTTAAAGTAATATTGGGCCATCTAACTGTAAACAATACAAAAGTATACAATTGAATGTTATTTAGTTACAATAGAATAAGGAGCCATGGCCCCTCTATTAGACTTAGGAAAATAAACAAAATATACAGCCTTATATTCCATTTTAACCACAAGTCCATCCGGCATCTGTCTGTCACAATTTGACTGAAGCATACTTCAAACTATTTCAATTAGACACTTTAAACTATATACTGGTCGGAGACCATCAACCGGACACTTTTGGAACATTTTTCAGTACAGATTTCATAATTTTTAACCTGGAGACCAAAAAATTTGACACAGTTCAGCTAGGTTCTTCTCCTAACTAATAAACAAGTTTGTTTATTTCTGATGGTATTGACACTTATATCTGAGGCTCTACAAGGAGAGTATAAAATTACCTACATTGTTTACACTACAGTACCATGTGTCCGGACAGATATGTACATGATGTGATTTAATTCAGATAAAAGCTTGGGTGTTTTGATTTTTGATTTGTAACATGATATACAATATGTCAGCAACAAATGCTGAAGTTTTGGATATTCTATTATTCACTCTGCAAATGATTATAGCTGGTATATGAGGTCAGGCATTGCTTTCTTGACCCCCGAATTTCAACGTCAACATTCTTGAAATAGACATTAAAATATTACCATTTATGGAGGTTGAAATAAATTTATTTACTTAATTTTAAAAGAAACATGCATTTATTGTTGATAAAAAAGTGACTGACAACCACTGAACAAAGAAAATACTAAATTAAGCATTTTCGGGGCCGTCCGGGTTTGGTGGTTGTCCGGTTTTGGTGGTCCCCAACCAGTATGGGTTTGCATCTTATTGAACTGAAGTGCAGTGTCCAAGATTCACAACTCTCTTTTAACTTTTAAGTTATTGCCCTTTGAGATTTTTCATTCTTAATTTCTTTCTTGGGCATAATTTGAAAAATAATTATGAAGATGTCAATTTCAAACTTATTAATAGATAGATCTTATGAAGAATAAGAACACTGCATGAATGCTATAACTCAAAGATAAAAATTTTATTTTGAGTTATTGCCCTTTGCAATTTGTACAAACCTTGTTTTTATGTGGGGCATAACTAAAAATGTATTAGCTGTATAAATAAAAAGCTTCACAGATTGATCTCATGTGTACAAAAAACAATTGCATTACTTTGGAAACCCACAATCAATTAAAGTAGGGCTTTTCCTGCCAAAGTTAAGTTTTAATATAATTGTTATGTTGTTATATATAAGTAGGTTTAAAAAAATCCCACAACATGAAGAAAAAAATATATGCTTGAATTATTATTTATTGTACATGATTTTTCTATGAATTATTCCTTAGCCTGTTGAATTCGTGTAATTGGTTTGCCCTCTTTTGAAGTTGAAGCAGTCAGGTTTGAAACTAATGGATTTCAATATCCAAGTACAAAAATTAAACCATTAATGCTATTAAGCATGATTAGATAATGAGATTGCACGGTTGTACAGGCTGACCTGGCCCGGTACTGACTGGGCTGAGGTTAATCGTGTATTTTTCAAGCAGGTTAAAAACATTGGATTTTAATATTGTTTGTTTCATGTATATTTTCAGTATTGGAGGAAGTGAAGATTTTCACCTGAAGACTGTATGCCAACTGTGATAATTAGTGTTTATTGACAGAAGAAGTCAACATCCTGTTTTCTTTCAAATTTAAAATGTTTGAATGGTATTTACTTATTCAAAACTTATGGTTTGGCACGTAGCTTTTGTACTTTGTCTTGAAAGAAATTTAAGTTCTGTATAAAGACATGAGTTAACCTAAAACAATGAAAATTGTAAAGTGAGTTGAAGATTATTTAAATTGTTTGTATTAGAATTAGGAATCTGATTTGATAAGAGTCTTTTTTTCTAATTTAAAGTAATTTTTTGTAAATAATGCATTTAAATAACTAAATGTAGGCTTTTATTTCCAAGAATTATGGTCTACATCTCTACTGTGAGCATGGTGAGTAATGTTTTCAGAAAAGTATGTTTAAGTAGAATATATTAAAATTTCTGCAAAAACATTTGTTCCAATTATAATTCATTTAATTATTTGTGTCCCTCGCATTTTTCATATATTCTCATGAAAGATTTGTAAAAGTCGGTCACACTGTCTTATGAATTAATTATTCCTCATTTTTACTTAGAATATTGTCATAGTTTTCTAAAAAAAAACAACCGAACATTTCATAATTTTGCTTCAAACTTAAAATACCTATTTACTATTATCAAACACAAATAATTCTTTCGAGTACTTTTGCAGAATTATGCCCCCTGAAGGTTTTTCTATTTGTCTTTTATTATATGCCGGAAAATATTTTGGCGTTAGTAATTATATAATAATTATGTATAAATATCAAATTTTGTGTGCACTCTGTATCTCTTCAATTGATAGGAGAAAGTTAAAATTATTTGGTAGAAAAGTTAATTGTACTCGGGCAATTTGCACATGCTGGTTTAAGCTTCATCTCATCAAAGTCAAGTTAACAATCCTTACTATATATACAATCAAAGGGAAATTACTGTGTATGTATTACTTTATTGTTATGTTACCTTCCTTTAATTAAAAAAAATATACTTAACAATATATATACATTTTTTTTATCAAACTTTAAATTTTTAGATTTTTTTTTCCTGCTATGATTGTTATTGAGTATTATTACTTTAGGCAGGGATTTAATTCAGTATATCACAGGTGTACAAACATGGTTTAAAACAAAACATGATGAATACAGACATCCATACACAAGTTTTATCAACCATGTTATGTTCATCAATACTAAGGATAACATAAAACAGGGAAAAATGATTCCCATTGTGGTCCTAGACATTGATGGCACAATACTGAAAAAGAATATCAATTTACTTCATATGATAATGATGGTAGCACATATTGTATTGTATATATGGCAATTTAAGTTATCACAGAACATGATTATGTATGAGATCATTAAAATATATAATAGGACATTAAAATAGACTATATACAATGATGTAGTGAAAAAACCATCTTACCATATTAAAATTCAAATGAGCCGCGTCACGACAAAACCAACGTTATGTGTTTGCGACCAGCATGGATCCAGACCAGCCTGCGCATCCATGCAGTCTGATCAGGATCCATGCTGTCCGCTATCAATTTCTGTATTTGTAATAGGATTGGTAAGCGAACAGCATGGATCCTGATCAGACTGTGCAGATGCGCAGGCTTGTCTGGATCCATGCTGGTCGCAAACCCATTATGTTGGTTTTGTCGTGACGCGGCTCAAATTTTAAAGGTTAGTTATATGAATTTAACATGTTTGAGTACCTGCAGCTGTGAGCTGCAATAATATGTCTACATGGGCATGTGCAATAAAATTTGTATAATATTTAATATCTAATATAAAGACAAGTATCTAAACTTTACTACTCTGAATACAGTGAAACCTGCTCACAGAGACCAATGTAACAATTCTAGATGTAAAAGAGTAGTATTTGCTGACATGTGATAAGTCTATATAAAATGTTCCACTGTACTGAAATGGGAAATAAATTTTAAACTTAAAGTGATTTGTATTTTAGTTTTTGTCTATACCAGCAAATGGCTATAAGCACAGGTTTTACTGAAGAGCATTACGTACTATTGGGATACACAGTTAAACCAGTTTGATAAAATCTAAGTGAACAGTTTAAATTCTTATAACATTTATTCTGAAGCCAAGCATTGGTGTAACCTAAACCATTTCATAAAAAAGAAATTGTTTACGATTGTGGTCAAGATTGAGTAAAAGCAAACTACCTGGACTCACAAAAAAATGACTTTGCCAAATTTTTAAAAAATGGCAATATTGGAAGTAATGGATGCCTGTGCTCGCAATGAACCTTACAAATTAAAGTGTATAAACTAGCAATAAAGGTTAGAGATTTTGTTGATCCATGGTAAGACATTGACATGTCTATAACCTACAGTACTAATACGGTATATTTGCAGTTTGTGAAAACTGTTGCCCATTTATTATCATAGACATACTATCCTAATATTGTTTTTTTTATGCCTCCTACATAAAATGTGGGATGGATGTACCTGTTGTGTTACCATTGTGTGTGTGTGTGTGTGCGTGCGTGTGTGTGTGTATTTAGTGGGGGTGTTCAAAAACTATAACTTTTGTGTCCGAGCCATAGCTTCTGCATGTATGATGGGATTTCAAAATTAATTTGTACACATGACAACCCCTTAGTAGACGATGATGTATCCAGTCCATTATAACTTCCGCATTCATAATGGGATTTCTGTTTAACCTTGTACTCTTGATCACCAAAAAGGGTCCGAGTGTTTCAAAAAGACAAACGTTCTATCTAGCTAAAAGGTAAAGGGTTTAAGGAAGGGTTTTAAACTTTGAGTTTTCATTTTTTATTTAAAAAGCGGGAAATTTTGTGCCCTGTTGTAAATAAGTTTTTTAAAAAAAGGCGATACACTGATTGCCAAAATAGGTAATGTGTTGTGTGCAAGACGTTTGTCCATACTTTCAAAGTCAAGGTGGTACATCCTGTCCGTCTAATAACTTTGTTATAATTACTAGATGGATTGTCAAAATATTTAGCTTATATCGTTGCCACTGTCAAGCTATGTGTTGCATGCATGACTCATGTCTGCATATTGAAGGATTTGTAATTCAAATCCTGTCTGTCAAATTGTTAGGAATGAGTAAGTGATAAACATTTCGCACTTGTAATCTTATAACAGTGGGTTAAAACCTCGTCAGGGGCATGCCATTGTTTCCTTGAGCAAGACACTTAGTCATTGCTCGGTACTCAGTACTGGTTGGTTCCAGGAACGGATTAGTGAGTGTGTCTATAAATTATAAACTTTCTTTAGTTTACAACCGGACTAAAATTGTTGTATAAACCAAATTGTTTAGCATATGATTTCATCTCAGTCAGGCAATGTTCTATGCGAAAGATCTATGTCTGCAACTTCAAGGTCAATGTTGAATATTGAAGTCAAAGGTCAAAGGTCAAATTGTGTTTGTCCACTATCCTCTGGTTAATGATTCACATGTTTCTCGCTCAACATCCAGGTCAAGGTAGTACTTGCAGGAAAAATAACATGTTATGGGTCATCTATATCCTATGGAAACATTTCTAATTCATGTTATTGATTATGATTTAATTAGGTAAAGGAAATATTTCATTTGTATTTCATTTCCTTAAGATATTTGACTTAAATTATTGCTCCTGCATATTGGGAGAAAAAATGGGGTACATATAGTATATAGAAATGTGTTATCTCCGTCTGACTGTCCGTAACACAGTCCTAAATTACTCGACCATACATCAAGCGATTTTGAAATAACTTGGCACAAATGCTCTCCATAACAAGAGATGTGCTATGTGCAACACCAAGATCTCAACCTCCAAGGTCAAAGTCAAACTTGGTGATTTAAGATCAACATTGTCTGATGGAGAGTATGGTTCATGTGTGATTTATATCATTTTTATCCATTTAGGATTTTGAAACAACTTTGCACAAATGTTCACCAAGATAAGAGGACATGTCATGCACAACGCCTAGAACCCTACATATCTCCAAGGTCAAGGTCACACTTGGAGGTCAAAGCTTTACATGGTCTGTTATAAGGCTTGTGTAATTTATGGTCCACAACTTTTCCATTCATCAAAGGATTTATAAATAAGTTTGTACAAATATTCACCATGTAAAGCCAGTGTGTCATGACCCAGAATACCCACATCCCTACCACCTAGGTCAATGTCACCATTGGAGGTCTACGTATTTTCCTTGTCCAGAAAATAACTCTAAAAGTATTAGAGAGATTCCAGCGAAATTACAAACTATAAATAGCTAACAGCGAGAAGGTTACACAAAACTTTCCTTAGGCGTGGGACGTTAGTAACTCTGTTAAAAATTCTTGCATTGCATTCGTTTGACCTTTAGTTGTCTTTTTGATAACTATTAATGCTTGTTTTCTAAGACAATTTAGATTCTTTGACATTGAATACTATTAAGCGTTATTGTATTTTTTTGTTTGGTTTTACGGCGCACCAACATAATTAAGGTCTTATTGCGACGAAACAGGAGAGATGATTTTGGCTAGCCATGTGTATTACAAACTTAAATCAACACTAGGGGTCAAAACCACCTCACCAGCTGGAGCTAACAGATGCATAGACTGCAGTTATTCCAACCCACTAAGTCGCCTCTTACTGTCACGCAGGAATAAACGTTGCCATGGCTGCAATTCTTATGCCGTAACATTAAAGGCAACCCCTCAGTCACAAATGAACATTGTAGATTTACTGTATTACTACCATATGTACATTGACTATGATATCACGAAACCAATTCGAATTTTAATTGCCTTCTGATTATTCCCTACTTTATGTAAGATAAATTAGGCCGGCCATGTAACACCGCACTTTGCGGGTCAAACGCATACCAAATTTCGTATAATATGCTACATAACAACGGAATTTGGGTTTCAAAGTTCTGAAAGCTGTCAACTGAGTGCAGAGATCTGAAATCTTAAAACATAAAAGGCGGAGTTCAAGAAGACCGTCTATACTAAATACATCTCTGCAATCAAATAATCTTACTATGTGTCATTTTTATTCTGATGTAGCAGTTATCAAAACAAAAATGTATTTGTTGCTTATTAAATTTAAGTAATTAAAAACCTTTTTTAAAAAAATGTGACTTAATAGCAAACAATTTAAATGTTTCGAAGAGCATTCTGTTTTGTCAGCCATTTAGTTTTGGTGCCATTTTGAACCCCAAATTTTTTATATAATGTGGATGAAGTAAAAGCAGTAAATATCATCTCATTGCATCTTATTTTCAAACAATTCAGTTTCTGTTAAGATGACTTGGAACAAGCCATTTAGAAGGAGGGCTACAGCTGTAAATTATTTCAAGTGTTTTCCACAATTTTCGATTTTTCTAAATATTTAAACCACATAACATCGCTAATGAAAAACATGTACAATAGTGAAATTCATTAAATTTTATAAGAAAATATAGTTCATAAAACAATTTATATTTACACAGAATAACCATGGTCACTCGATCAGAAAAAGTTTTAAGTAAATGCATGTTTGGTTGCCATGTCGTTAAAATTTTAAGCTGTCCCTTTTTAAAAGTGTTTATGATTTTTACGTTTGTCAGGTACCAGTCATATCTTATTTCATGAAAGTAACTGCAGGCTACTTATAGTAAATTTAAAGAATTCTTAAATGTAGATATATATGACAACAATTACTTATTTTCAATTTTATGGCCATTTTTGGACGCCATATTGAGACTAAAATTGAAATGACACCAGTGAAATTTTAATGTAAATAAACTTAAATTACAACATAGACATTTTATATTTTGAATCGATGAAATATTGTAGGTTATTTAGGGAATATTGTCAGGTTTTACCAAATGTTTATATTTCATTATATACACCAAAAAACTCTGCCGTTTATAAATCAGAAAAGAGATGAATTTCGCTTTTTTTTCTTTTTTATATGTGCTTAGAAATAACTCCTGCCATAAATGGACTTGTATGAACATACACTTTTAATCAGTATGATGAAATTCTTAAAATTTGGCATTCGGAAGTTATCTTACATGTTTCATTTTCCCAGTGGTGGCAGGATGGCACCCCCTGAATTCTTTTTAATGTAAGTCGTTTCTTCAATATTCATCAGAGAAAAAATTATATATTATTAATCAATGTAGAAATATTACCTCCCTTTGATATAACTAAGATAGGGAAAATCCTGATTTTTTAATCCTAAGGGATAAGCATCTGGATTTTAATCAGATTGAAATATGTCTGTCACGCAACCGCTATTATTATCGGCGCACAAAGCTAGTTCATGGACAAAGCTTAAACACTATGCAATTTAATGTATTATTACACACAATACACAGCAAAAATATTTATATATCTTTCTTTTTGGCCTTTTTTCTATAATTTGATACTCGTTTTGCAATTTGCAACCCATAGATATAAAAATAATAGAATAATCTATCGTCTGCTATTGTTATTCCAATTAAATACATTTCGCCTACTACATTCCTTATTTTTAGTTAACCATTGGCATTAACTACAAGATATTACTTTAAAATATCACAATTTTTTTTTAATTGTATTGATCGTTGAGGATTGATATGTATAACGTAATTTGGGGTCAAAGTTTGTGACCAAATTGCGTTTGACCACAAAGTGCGGTGTTACAAAGTCATCTCTTTACTGCTATACTGGTTAATTGTACCAATCTCCAACCTTAATGGAATAGCGGAGATCTAACGGAAATGTAAAGTTTCTTGCTCAAGGAAACAACGACTTGCCCCTAACTGGGTTTGAACCCATGCGGCTAGCGATCATTAGATTACTAGTCCGACACGTTAACCACTCGGCCATGCCGCCACATACTACTGAAGGGTTTCGTTTGAAACATAACTAATGGTAAGGGGTTATTACTGGACGTCACTATCCAGGGCCCATTTCTAAGGCACGTATTTTGACCATTTGTAAATCTATATTCTTGGTTGAAGTTTAACATCAATTTACCAAAATTTTTCAAAACAAATGAAGAAAATTACTTTGAATTTGATACGTATACCTCCGGAATCATAATTGGATGTCACTGTCCAAGGCGTTGATTTTGACTGATAAATGACACTGTGTGAAATTAAGAAACTCTTTTGCCAATGTCCAAAATATCAAGCACTGATAATTAAAAGTCGAGCGCGCTGTCCTACTGACCGCTCTTGTTATTTCTTTCTACAATTGTTTTATGATAGATTTTGTTGAATCGTATAATCTAAGAATGTATAATGAATGTTTTTTGATAGTTTATACTGCGTTCCAATATTTATATTATAACACCACTTCTATTTAGGCATTACATGAGTAAAGATAACCTTCAGAAAGAAAGGAAGGAAGAAAGAAAGAAAGAAGAAAAGAAAGAAAGAAAGAAAGAAAGAAAGAAAGAAAGAAAGAAAGAAAGAAAAGAAAGAAAGAAAGAAAGAAAGAAAGAAAGAAAACGAAAAAGACCGAAAATTAGAATTCTCCAAAACCACAGATTATATTTCGATTAATATCAAATCGATTTTCATCCGATTTAAGTGTCAAAGTTGATAATTATGATCTTCTGTAAATGATATCTTATTTCTTTTTTAAACCCCCGAAAAAAATCGTTCTTAATATTTTACATGTATACAAAGAATATATTACGACAGTAGAGTGTAACCCATTATAACTTTATAAATGTATTGACGTACTTGTATACCTTATACAGATATATTTCATTGTTTGGATAAAAGTCTTTTAAAACTTATTCGTGCATGATAGCCTTTAACAATAAATATATATAATCAAAGTTCAACAAAAAATGGTTTAGTTATATATTGGAAAAACGTGAATATTTCAATAGGAATTTTTAGTTCAATAAGGGGACTTTTGGCATAATTTTGTCATAATTAGAATCTTTAGTGTCATAATAAAAATGAAATTTCTTCAACTCAATACAGTGTATTATTTCTAATAAAAATGAAAATAAGACATATAAAGGAAATATTAGCTCGCCTGGTTATTATTTCGTTATTTCAAAATGGTACGTATAATGTATAGCGTATATATTTTTTTTCTTAATGTTAACTTATAAAATTTTTCATAATGATAGTTGTTGTAGTTGTTGTATATATAACTTAAGTAAGCTTTAACTTGCGAACAATTAACTGGTTAATATACAATGTATATATGCATAGGGTTCTTATGTCCATAAAGTCTTTCTACAATAAGTGATTCGCCTAATTGAAGTGAATGTTTATCTATGCACGTAAACGCTATAGAAACTTTCTGTTTCTAAACCCAGGGATCTTGCGTAGTACTATGGAATATGCAGGCTGATTAATTCAGGGATCACTGGTTCGATCTTGGGCTAGAAGAAAGTTTTGTTTAGAGACACATTTTCTTCGCGTTAACTAACCCTATTGGTTATTTGTCTCCTCACGGCTGTTCTTGTAAAATAAATAAAAATAAATGTATCAAGAAACAAAACAAAACACAACAAAAACAAACAACATTAACAAAGAAACGATCATGTTGCTCATATAACACAACTTGCCAGTACTTGTTGATCCGGAAAAGCGGACTCGAAGTGGTTAAATTGAGCTCGAATTACTCAAACTTACAGCAACAGGTTCATACTTCTCCAAATCCTTCAAGAGGCGTGCACATCGCGAAGAAGGAAGGCACATGATGGGTGAAGGTAAAATCCTCTCCAGTACCAGAGATGATTGGTTGACCTGTCGTGACTAACTCTGAAGGGTGGCGCTCACCAGGGCTGTTTTTTTTGTTAGAGATGCCGTCGGAAAGCTGATGCCTTGGATAGTATTGTCGTCTCCTTCAACCATCAACTAGCGAAGAATAGGTTCCGGGGAGACTCTGCATGACAAGTAGCCACTGATGTTGGCTTTATGATCGGACCAGCAAGTGTGCAGATAATCTGGCCCATATGGTTATTTCGGCGGCCAGTACGAATAAATTTATCTACAACAGGTTCAAAGACGAAGAGACACACAACACCCTTTCATTATAAATTAGATTTTTAAAATGTTAAAATCTTTTGGGACACATTCCCCCATCATCTGACAATCATTCATCCATTTCATCTATGCACTAGTAGTCCCAACTTTAGATACGAGTATGTATAAAACAAGAACAAAAGAAAAAATATCGTAAAACAATCGTTGAAGCATTTTTTTCATTTCTACTTTTTGTAACAGACGTGCAGAATTAGGTATTTGATCAAATAATTATTTAAATACATATGCTTTTGAAAATATAGGCTAGGTAGGTAAATGTTTATACGTTATTTCAATATTTGCAAATAATCTTACAATATAACTAGAGATATTAGAAGTAAAAATCTTGTTACTTGCCTGTAAAATGGTCAAGACACAGGAACTGTTATGGCACACACATGTATTTTATTTCAAACTAAAAACTCTTTTTCATATATGAGCCGCGTCATGACAAAACCAACATAATGTGTTTGCGACCAGCATGGATCCAGACCAGCCTGCGCATCCGCACAGTCTGATCAGAATCCATGCTGTTCGCTATCAGTTTCTCTACTTGTAATAGGGTTTATAAGCGAACAGCATGGATCCTGATCAGACTGCGCGGATGCGCAGGCTGGTCTGGATACATACTGGTCGCAAACGCACGATATTGGTATTGTCATGTCGCGGCTCATATATTTTCACTCGCGCTGTGGACTCTTGAAAATATTTTGAAAATATCACTTCATAGAGATATATATATTCATTATTAACTTAAAAAAAGAAAGAAAAAAGTCCAAGTAATCTCTAATTTTCGTTTAAGAACATTTGATTTGTTTTTGCAGTATGCTACGTAAATGGAGGTGAATCGTGTAGACGTCAGGAGGGCGGTCACATCGTGGAGGAATATTGCGACTATGGTTGCTGCGGGTCCGATAATGACGAATCTTGTTGCTCGTGAGTTGCTATTTTTAGATATGCTAGCTTTTTTTAACTTTTTTACCGCGCAGTCTGATCAGGATCCATGCTGTTCGCCTACAAACCCTATAATGATGACTATTTCTATAGAATAGTCTCTGTTATTTGGGGAACAACTTATACCCTGCCTTGGTTATGACGTAGGTACTGTATCTACGTCATATCCTTTTAACGCTGGCGTCGAATATTGTAACAAGGAAGAAATGAGTTGTTGAAAAAAATGGAAAAAATCGCTGATCAAAACAGCAATCGATAGTAATATCTTCTAGATATGAATCGATAAGACGTCGGTGACTTTCTGTGTGCCCTATAAGCAGCAATTTTGTTGATATTTTCCACGATTGAAGCGGATTTGTTCTTGATGTCTTTGGTGGGAACATGGAACACTGAATCAAGCAGGATATTATATGGACAGAGAAGTTTTCTTATTCAATTTCAGATTTAGATCTTCAACAGATTGCTGTCGAGAGCAGTTTAAATTTAAATTATTTATATTCATTGTTTTGTGAATTGTACTTTGTCTAGCTTTATGCTGACTGCTGCCGTAAATTGACAATTTAATTAAGATGATCCATGGATCTACTCTCACCACGGCTATTCATTTAGCTATGTCTGTATTTCGCTATAATGTTAAACCATTCGCGGTGTATTAGTTATGATGGTAACGATGATGACTGTAATGAAAACCTTTAAAAAATATGATAGATCTACATAAATAATACGATGATCTAGCTAGGTCAGTAGGTGCACTTTGCTATTTTCAATGGCGTTAAGAATGGTGGAAGCAAGAAATTTTTGTTAACTTGTGCTAATTGTCCTGAATTAGGAAAAAATGTGTCTATTAATCTAACAGGTTTCATAATAAATCAGTTATTATTAGCTAATCAGTTTTTAAAATATATTTTATTTGCTTTAAAATCTTCAAAATAGATCTATAATTTTTTCTTTTTTGCTGGACGAGATTGGAAGAATGTGATTAAAGACAATACACTACTGGTCTGTATGGGAAATGTGGAAATAAATGCGATGGTGATCAGCAGCGTCTTGTGCGGACTCCTGACATTTGATGAATTGTTGTATGAGATAAATTGGTGGCTGATGTTAGTAGAGCTAGTAGTTTAGTTCCTTACAGTATTAGGTGAGGTATTTCCTGTTTAAATGTTTATTTTATACATTATTTTACAATGTGAAACCTAGGTTTAGATCTACAAGTTGAACAAATTAATTATTCAGTTATAATTTCAGTATTTGTTATCATAGATGTGAATACATTGCCTTATTTTAGGGCCTATTGTTTTCATGGTAAAAATTAAGTATGCATAATAAGCAAATTATGTTGGATAAGAAGGGGTTAAAAAATCACATTAAATAGAAAATCAAATTGATAAATTAATAATGCACAAATAATTAAAAGATGCAGACCTCAATGCAACGTCAGTCACATGAGTAAGATATTAGATAATAATAATTATAGTAAATTAATAAACATTATATAAACTAAAATAATAATAATAAATTAATAGTAATAATAATAATAACGAATTGATAATAATAATAAAATTATTAATGATGATGATAATAATAATAATAAATTAGTAATAATAATAATGAATTGATAATAGTAATAATAATCTAATGATAATAATAAGACAATCATGAATTCATAATTATAATAATAATAATAATAATAAATTAATAATAATAATAAATTAATGATAATAATAATAATAATTTTAAATAGACTATGTTGTTTATAATTCATGGTGTAGGGCTACATTACAGTACAGATTTATAACAAAATTATATTTGTCACACAATTTATTGCAATTTTGACCGTTGACAAGTTGTAGTTCACTTTTCATTGTAAAATTTATTTTCCATTGCACCTTTTATTTACTTTACACAACATAAAAAGATAAAATATTTAAATATATAAAAAATGGATAGCTAATTTATTAAATGATTGTGAACTCTTTTGATGATTTAGTCATAGTGAACACCATCCAAATATAAAACTTTAAATTTGAAAGTATATCATTTACTTTTATTTTTTCTTTATAGTTTGACAATAGATCTACACATAATTAAACTTAAAACTTTTAATTTTTAGAGGGTTTAGAAGTTTTAAATTTAGAGTTAAAAGTTTTCCATTTCTTTAGGATTTCTTATAATCTCATGCTATATGATAGGGGCTACTCATTCCCCTAAGCTAGTAATAAAAAGTGAACACGCTTCTTAAATTTTATTGTGTTAAACCACTGTTATAATATTTAACACAAATCATGCATTCAACGTTTTAACTTTTCTTTGTTGAATGTTGTTCAAAGGAAAAAATCATTCAAACAATTTTTCTTTGGCTTTAATATAATACCCCAACTTTGCGTTTGAATTGCAAGACCAATTTTTTATGTAAACTAATAGAGAATTTGTGAGGTTTGATATTTAAAAAGTTAATATAAAATTGTCTTACTTTAATTTCCGTGTTGAAACAATATTTTATTTGTGAAAAGTACACCCTATTAAATTTCAAAATAACTTGCTTATGATATTAAAATTACATTGTGCCTATTTTGTCATGGTCAAGTTATGCTGAATTGACTTTATGTTTCAAAATAATTGACTGAAAAAAAGGTTATTGACCTACAGCTGATATTTTAAAATGTTAAGGATAAAATATAAGTATCCCTAAAATATAAAAAGGACTGTCGTAAACTTTTTTTATAAATTGAAACATTTTGGGTAATTTCCAATGGCAATTGATTTATCGTTCATAAAATGGAAAGTACATAATCATTTATAAAATTGAAAGGAATTATGGCAAGATTTAAACTTATTTGACTTTCACCTGTTCACTCATTATAATTAAAGCCTTGGAAATGGGCATTATGCATTATGTCAAAATTATCTATTACATACCTGTTTAATTTACTGTTTAAACATTCCCTATTAGTGGTTCAATTAAATGTACAAATATTTTTTATTAAATTTTGTAATAAATTATTTATGCACTTCCCAGAAGTCCATTCTAAGCTCTTTGATATTTATATTAATTTTTGTTCTAAAATATTTTTGCCTTTTTTTATCTTCATGGTAATAAAACTTTGTTGATTTTCTGTCTGGATTATTTTTATTAACAATAAACATAATAAGGCAACATAAAAAAACACTAACTTTACAATGTTTAAATAAAATGATTGCCAAATACTTTGGGCAATGTTTCTAAGGTTTCACTTTGGTTTCAAAAAACCTTAGATTACCATATTATTAGGCTATTTATTGTTTTTCAGCAGCTCTTAATTTGATAATCAAAAAATGTCTTGGCTGAAAATCAGCAAATGCTTTCTGTATTGCAGAATAGATTAATGATTGTGGCTTTCAATTAAAATAAATTGTAAATACATGGTGTTAAATTATTATAATCAATGTTTTATTTAAGTCTTAAATTGGTTGAATTGATAATAACCAATACAGAATCAAACAACCCTTTTAACTGACCCCAGTATAGCTGGAATGCTTTGCAAAGCCCCCAGTTTGGAAGAATTTTATGTGATAATTGCTGGCCAAGTATAATTTATGTCCAACAAAAAGCTTAAACCAATTATTCTTGGGGAATTTGGGAATTTAGTTTATGTTTTTTGGCCCAATAAAAGATATTTTATTAGTAATATTTTCCACTGAAATTCTCATTAATTGTTTCAAATTCTTTTTTACAGCTCAGTTAAGTATATTAAAGTTATAAGTCCCCATTTTTAAATAAGCGCTTCACACAGTTGTAAGAAAGACAGTCCAGGACTGACCAGGATGGTAGGGGTTGTGTGAAATGTGCCCAAATTGAAAAATATAGTTCGAACCTATGTTTCAATTGGGGCAACTATGTACAATTGTGGGGTAAAAAATTAGGACAATTTCTAACACGTTAATATTGCATGCTATTCTAATGACAATAAAGGTGCTAAGCATACTAAAATGTAATACAAGTGTTCTGCCTTGTCCAATAATGATGCATTAAAATTGTTGCTAGTTTTTCTTTACCGCATGGAGTGTTAGTGTTTACATCATGCGATTTTGAAAACAAATGGAAACCTGATTAATGTAACCTAAAACATTATTTAAACATGTTGGTTGACTTTGGAAAGGATTCGAACCCATGGAATGCAATTGGAAATATCTGCTCTCCAGAGTCATGCAGGGTTCTTCACGATCTTGATGGTCACTATTGTATTTGGCATATGTTTTCGGCGCGTCTTGGTTGGTGGCTGCCCCCGGGGGACCCTCGCCCACTTTGCGGCCCTCCAACCCTTCAGAACAGATAATATTGAAAATTGGTGAAAAAGCGTTGGGGTTATGGAGTTTCAATTATTATTAAGATGAGTTGCTGAAAAAATGTGCAGCGAGTTGCATACCTTTACTAAATATGTATATATATTAAATCAATTTTTTTTTTTTGTGGGAAATGAAGGTAAATTGAATTAAAAGCATATACCAAATATTAAAACATGTTTCAAATTGAAAAATACTGCAGTTTAAATGGTTTTGGGGTGGGAGGGTTGTGGGGTGGGTGGCTGATCAGCGCGCCGAACACCTATGGCATAGAGTGGTTCAGGAAAGGTATATTTGAAAAGTTGATTGTGTTGATGCATAATTTATAGTTCAGTTGATTGAATGCACTTATTGTATACATGTATCTAGCACATATTTGAGCAGTTTTGAACGTTATTGCTAAATTGATATCTCAAAAAACATGCCACTGTCAAATGTATATACATTTTAGCTAGACCATATTTGGAGCAGTTTGAATGCCTTTTGCTTAATTCATGTCAAGAGAAATGGCACTGAAACTCCCGAGATCTTGATGGTTACTACCCCAAAATTATTGTGTTTCAGATAGTGTCATATTTGATTTATGAGCGCTAAGTATATGCATATTTGTTGGAATGCTGCTTTATTTGCTAAGTTGAATTACCTACATGGCAGTGTTG